TGGAGCGTTGTGAAACTGTGAGAGATTTAGGTGTCCACTTTGACAAGGAACTCACCTTCAATTATCATATAAACCAAATAATTTCTAGTGTATCGAAAACGTATGGCTTCATAATCAGAAACTGTAGGAACTTCGACAATATCTGTACATTGAAATCTTTATTTTTCAGCCTGATAAGGTCAAAACTTGAATATGGATCTCTTATATGGCGCCCTATTTATAAACAATATGTTGATTCTGTTGATAAAATTCAGAAAAAATTTTTGAAGTTCCTCAGGTTCAGAACTAATGGAGTATACCCTGCAAGAGGTTCCGATTACAAAGACCTTTTGCAAAAGTTTGAGTTTCAATCTTTAGAGCAGCGACGGAATCAATTTTCTGTATTGACTTTATATAAACTGTTGCATGGTCAAGTAGACTGTCCCCAAATTCTCTCGCAGTTGCAATTTCTGGTGCCGCGGTTAGCTTCACGAGCTAGTGTTCCATTTTTCTGTCAAAGAGCACAGACTAACTTATTATCAAAAGCACCAGTTCATATGATGAGTAACAATGCCAATAAAATTGCTAACGACTGTGACATTTTTGGTTGCAATTATAATGAGATAAGGAATAAGACACGTTTTCTAAGTTAAGACTTACCATTTTATATATATATATGTATATATGTATATATATATACTTAATACCTTTGAGCTAACTTTTATTTTTATAAATTGCTCTGTTATTGGCGATAAGCTGTTGGGCAATAAAGGCTTATTATTATTATTATTAATAATGCTTTAACGGAGCTTTACTCCCAGACAATAGCCTTTCAAAATATTCTTTCAATTTTCAATTCTCTACATGACAGCTAGATCCATAATATTTGAATGCAAGATATGCGCATAAGTTCCGATATGGCAGATATAAAATGTGTTTAGAAAACTACATTATAGAAGCTTTCATTCACTCGAGCATGTTTCTATCAGTTAACATAAAATACTACTGTTTTTAATTTTTTATACACGATCCTTCAGTAATATAAAAAGTTTGTCTATTAGGTTGTCCCTTATTCAATAAGTTACGACCAACTATAGGAATATTACTATTTTAGACGTTTAAGGTTTAATAATATCAATTCACGTCATACTATCTACAATGTCACATCATTGAAACTGGAAATAGGGGCTGTTTACCGATGCCTAGTTCATAAAAACTGAAGGAATGCTTGGATGATACATATTATGAAACAAATCACTATATGATAATTTCAAGACCCGTTTAGGAAATTCTGCTTCTTTAAGCAATTGTTTTGGCAACATCAATGTAAGCCATGTTATACAGAATGAAAAACTTCATTCACCTATGCAAAAATACAATATGGCATCTATAAGAAAAAGTAAAGTTTATGATTGAGGACAAAAGACGAAACGTCATATAAAGCCAGGAAAAATAAAATCGATTTTTGGAAAATTCTGTTTTTTTTTCATCCTTCTTCGGAAATTCTCGGATTTCCGACAATTTTTATGAGCCATTTTCTCAGTTACATGGATACGCAGCTTTGCTCCATTTAACTGACTATATCTCTTACCGTTTCCAACAATCCAGTAGTGAGAGTCGTATTTGAAACACCCCCTATATGGATCCATGCATATCGTATCTAGGGTAAATTTAAGAAATCTTTAGCATTATACAAAGTGATTTAATCTTAGCCGCGTATCAAACTTGATTTTGTTTAAATGATGTTTTATTGCATTTTCCGATATAATATATCACAGTTTTTGAAGGGTCACAGTCAAACTTCAAGCATTACTTTTATACATCCTTCTTCTTCTTCTTCTTCATCTGAGTCTGCCACTTTTATAGATGTCAGGTTAATATGACAACTTGCTAGTAATCGGCCTTTATGCGCCAACGCCCACTTTTGCAGGTACACGCTTTTACTTGTAATCGCGAAATTTTCGAAAATGAGTAATTTTGCTTTTTGGATGTTATATGGCATGTACCTCTCTGTCTGTCCGCCAATAATTTGGGAAGTTCCGCTCGCATTTCGATGAAATTTTTACACAGTATACTACTATGCCATGAACGCAACAGCTTTGCAGCCTATGAAATTCTGTCCAGTGGTGGCGAAGCTAGGGACAAAAACACGAAATAGATAAAAAAAAACGCTCAAACTTTGTTTTTTGATGTTTCAAAAGCTCCTAATCATTTTCAGACTTTCTTAGGTGCTGAAAATCGGTGGTTTGGGGTTGTAGGGGGTGGGGGAAGGTACATATTATTTTCTGACAGCATTGTATTTATACACTTCGAACCCCATTAGTTTTACGCATCCATCACTACATATTTCACACAACATAGATTTCTCCGCGCATTTGAGCTCAAAACTATTTGGCTGACTCAATCCATTCAATTTTCTTGTTGTACATGTTTGTAGCTAGGTCAGAGGAACCAACTTGTGCCGAACATAGTCGTTTATGAACTGATGACAACGTTGCGTGGGAAGTGCAGAGCAACCTAATTGATGCCGTTTTTTAGGAAAACATTTCTTGTCAACGTATGAATCCCCCAATGCAAATATTAAGCATGCCCCACGAAAGTCAAAACACGTCTCTTAATGTACAACGTTTTTGAACCATTCTGTACATAATATCGATCCAAAGGAATGCGCTTGTGTTTCAGGGACGACGATGCAATCTAGCGCGTTTATTTTCACCTTTGTACTTTCTTTAATCTAAAAAAACATCTTCCCTCAAAAGAATCTGTTTGATGCAGGTCGGAGAATATTTATGCTGGTACCAGAATATGCGTTTTAATGACAGATTGTAGACCCTTTGTGCATCAGTGACACCACAAGCACTGTATGGAAAGAGCAACTTAAGAAGTATCGAGAACAAGGGAGCGATGACATGCTATTATGATTGAACTTGCATCTAACGTTCGATCGTGAAAATTAGTTGACGGCGTTGTAGGCCTACTGCAAGGAATGGGAGAGGTGCATGTTCAAATCCCTCAGGCGTCCATTTTTCTCATTCTAAGGTTGTTATTTTGAAACAATACATTCGGTTTTAAGGGTACGTTTATCGGAAAAAATCATACACAGCCCACAAGTACTATGGAACCTGAACCACGAAAGAAGGCGTAATAATATTTTCTTCGATAAAAGCACTAAAATATAGACCAAGAAATGGGGAGTTTTTGTATAAGGAAATCGTACAATTTTTACAACAGTACATTTTTGGTGGTATCGTTAGATTAATGCTTCCTAATGATAAGTTTAAATTGACGCCAAGATAGGGCTTCAACATTCGCCGCCATTTTGATAAACGCATTTGATCGAAAATCTTGACAACCATCGATCCTATATAAGAAAGTAATTAAAATACCCTATATCCTGGCCTAACGTAAGAACATAAGGTATGAACAATTTGCAAATAATACCGTTGACCGCCGACAAAATGGTGGTAAATTGTCAAACACACAACATTCTTCAATGTAGCTAATTTGAATTGTAGTCCTGAGCGCTGTAATGCAACCTAAACTACGCGTTTATTAGCTCCACGAATGAATCTATGTACTTTTTCACGGTGGCCGATTCATGTTCAGTAGTCAAACTGGAATCTCGATTTTCCCATGGTATTCTATTAATCTGGGCTTCCCATATAAACATATTAAAATATGGCATTCCTTTCCTGTACGATCAACCCAATCCACAGCTTTGCTAATGACAGCACTCTACATGCAGGAATTCAGAACGACAAGCCGATCTCTGCCAGTGAGCTGGAAAAAAGAAGACTAACTGGCGAGGAAGACCTGCAGGCTGTCACTGCCTGTGAACGCCAAAACCTTGTACAGCTCAATGGTTCCAAAGCACAGAACTGTACCTTGACGAACAAAAATCGTCCTAGCGCTCTTCCGGTTTCGATGGATGATCCAGTTCTGCTAAATAGGCGTTCATTCTGGCTGGTTTGGGTCCAGATCACCGAGGACTTGATCTGGTACAAACACATCTCGCCAATAGCGACAGCTGCTGGGAAAAAGTTAGGTTATTTGTTAAGGGCTAAGGAGTACGCGCGGCGATCTAGCTCCCTTTTACCGCTACACCAAAGGGCTTTGCTCCTCAGCGCTCTCCGTCATGATGTCGCCACACGACGAGCGTCACATCCTAACCGTCTCGAACTTCGTACATCCAGAACTGTCCGATACGACCGCTCCTTTGTCCCGAGGGTGTCGAGATTGTGGAGCAATCTACAAGATGAAGCTTTTTCCAGTTCTACCAACCTTATGCAGTTCAAAAATCGAATTAATAGTTTCTTTGGAATCCTCTTAGCAGCCTAGGTGTCCTAGCATTCAGGCTTCTGCCTACGTGGCTGCTTCACCGTAAAAAAATGACAGATGTTAGTGAGTCAACATTAGGTGTAATTTCCTATAATAAGCAAGAAAAGATATCGCTAATATGATTCTCTTGCTCGACTTATTTCCTGCTAAAGCAATGTAAGTCCAACACAGTTTTTGGGTTCTTTCATTGGTATTCTTCATAAACTTTGATTCGAAATTTTAATCTTTCAACACTTAAATACTATATTTAACCCAAATAATTAGTTCATTTGTATATAACGCGGTTTCAAACGTCTCCTGAAAAATACAAATTGATAATTACTTTAAAACTGGTTCATTTGTAGATGACGCAGTGTCAAATGTCTTCAAAATTCAAATTGAGTGACTTTTGAGGTTTTTGCTTTGACCGATTCGAATGCGCTTGATTTTTATCCGAGCAGTCGAAAGCACAACATCTTGAACGTATTGAAATGCATGCATTTCTCGTTGTAATGCAAAATGTTATACTACTAAACTGTTATCTCGCGCACTTTCGAGTTGCCACGCATAACAAAAATTCAATCCACATAGATCTGCAGCACACATAATTATTTATTAGACACGTAGAAAAATTATGGGGTGTCCAGTGACGCCTTAACAGACGTCCAACTAAAGCAGAATTTGAGATCCATTATTCTTTGCAGGAAAACGGACAATAAGCAAGATGCCTGTTTAATAGCGCAAGAGAAACTACATCCAGTATGTGCCCAGCGAACTGAAGATACTCCACAGCCAACATGCTTACACCTAGCTGAGAATTGTAGAGAGAACAAGGATTGCAGGTAAGTAGATTACAGATTTTGAAATGATGACCAATGTTTTTTTCATTCGGAGTAGTCCGATTTGCGAAAATCGTTTTTCTGGCATTATTACAACGAAAAACTTTCTGTTGTAGATTGAAGTTGGAACACTATGAACAGTCCTGTGCTGTTGATAGTGTCACAAAAAAGTGTGCAGGCTCTCCCTCAGAATGCAGAAATGCCATCTTAGGAATTCTAGGTACAGACCTAAGGACGACTTGTGCCTGCAAGGGCACAGATATGACTCAACTTTACGAATGTCTCGGTTGGCAGAGGTTGCTGTGGGTCAATCCATGTGTGGGTAAGTCCAATTATGACTCACAAGGGTTGCTAGCATGCTCCGCTCCTGACCCCCTATTAGATTCTTATTTGATAAATGTTTTTGACAAGCTAACGACCTTAGTATTAACAAAATATTAAGTTTATACAGGGTGTTTCACAACTTTTAATCACATATGCACTGTTACGAAAGAAGTTGATTACTTAAAAAAAATGTAATAAAAGTCCTACCGAAATCGAGATAACAAAATAATACAGTTTAACAGTACACTTGCTTGGGCGCGTCTAATCCAATTTCCGCGCACTAATTCAAATACACCTCCTTCCTGCTGTGCCTCAAGGCTCAAATTATCGGCAGCCACTGTGATTCGGTCACGCAATTCTTCAATATTCTGAACTGGAATACGGTATCCTCATAAAACGAAGTCCAGAGGACTTAGATCGGGAGACCGTGAAGGTCATGCAATTGGTCCATCTCTTCCGATCCAGCATATCTGGTATAAATACCTGATTCAAAAAATCACGAACTTCTAAACGAAAATACGGAGATGCCCCATCGTGCAGAAACCCCAATCCGTGCTCGGACTGACAATGGCAACATCTTCAAGAAGGACCGGCAAATCATTCCGAAGAAATTCCAAATACGTTTAAAGAAAAACGATATTGGAAGTGTGTCTGGACCACTGCGTGAGCATTCTCAAAGGACCAAACGTGTGTATTATGAAGATTGGTTATCCCATTACGAGTTAAAATAGCTTCATCGGCGGCCAAAATATCACCTTTAGAACAGGCATTTCCCACTCGCAAAATCTTACACTTAGGGGGAGTCTGTAGGGCCTCATATAATATGAGCCACGCTGTTGCATATGAGACTTCTGGGACCTGTTGGGCTAACTGCCTTGTGCTTATTCCCGGATTTTCTTCCACAATATCCAAAATTTCGTCTTTGGCATTTAAAACGTGTTGTGGGCGAACCCGACCCCCATCCACTCCACGTCTGGGGCGCAAATCTCCACTAGCACGTGCACGTAAAACAATTGAACTAAATGTTTCGTGATATAGTATGTGCCTATTCGGAAATCGGTGTGCATACAACGAGAAGCCGCTCGCGAATTTTGACCTGCTTCTGCGTACGCTAAAACAATGTCCACTAACTCATCATTACTGTACACATGTGCCATTTTCATTGATAAATAACTAAAAACAAACTCGCAACATACTTTCTTATTTAACTTCACAAAAATCGCGAGACCGTTCTTCATTCAGATCACCCACGATACAGATTAAACCTTATTTACACGTTCTCATCAGTATGAAAAAACAAAGAATTCCTGTTATTTTGTTTTTGTCGGTTGTTTGGTACAGCATTTGCTACCGTAAATTATTAATGCGCGTTCTAATATCACGACGATGTACGCAAAATACAAGTATTTATTTTTCAATTTATTATTGAAACTCAGGTTTATAACTTAATTTCTGTAGGACTTTTTTTTAAGAAATCAACTTCTTTTGTAACAGTGCCGACCAAAAAATGAAAAATTCGCATCATGCAGTATTACAAGACAGACCTGTAGCATTACAGGGACCTCTTTTGCAGTGTTAAACTCCACATTGATAATTGTTTTAAAATATAAACGTCGAGGGAACTTAACAAGTGGCGTACTGTTTCATCAGGATAAAGCTCCCAGTCATACCTCATGTATTTTTATGTCTGTATTCCACTCATCAGTCTTTGAATTGGTAGATTACTGATTTTGAAACCTGCAGATTGATTGAAAGAAATCAACCAAGTATGTGGAACAGGCTATGCTGAGAGCTGTACTTGTTGTCCACATAGCAACTGAGCTAAGTCATACTTCACACAGCACTAGCTCCTAGCATTTAGATGCAAGCGAACGTAACCAATATTATTTAAACATTTCTTGTCCTTGTATTTTTTGCAACTGTTTTGTACTACCCTATCAACTGATGTAACTAACTCATAGTAGGATAAATAAGGAAAAAGTGCACTAGCCTGATGTCTCATAACAATAGAACGATGAGAAAGCAAAAGGTTGGAATATACGAAACCATACTAAAAACGGGAAGGCCTATATGCTATTTTTTGTGACAGTCCTCTTTTGTGTCTCCCATGAACTGGCCTAACTAATAGTACATCTGAAAAAGGATTCTGTTTGGTTAAACTTATTATTTTGTAAGAATATTATGCTGATGAAACAAAGGGTTGAAGTATACTAGACCATATTGAAAGCGGACGGCTTATACGAAAACACAGATATCGTTTATTTAAAGGTACTTGTACTGGTTGCTGAATAGTGGAAGCAGCTTTCAGTGCTTTCGCTGGAACAAAGGGTATCCTTCGGTGTAGTTATTATAAAGTATTCAAAGCCTCTTTTCTCTTAGTGCGCCTCGTAAACCGAGGTAAAATTATTTCGAAATGCACCTAACACGACGCACGGAGATCTTGCATCCGTTATGAGTTGAAACATTTAAATTCCTCAAAAATAATACGTGCACAACTACGAAAAGTATATTGACCTAGCGTCAGAGGACTCATTAGTTCAATATACAAATTATAAGAGTACTTAGTAATATAGTTTTCGTTCGTCTGACCACATAGAGACATAGACGGTCAACAATGGACCGCTGTTTCATACTACTTATTTCAATAAGTTTCTACTTATTCATATTACGTATTTGGTATACAAGTATAGCCTTGTTCCAACTTTGAATCCTGCTATCGTACCAGAACCACTCGATTACAGTACAGTACCAATTCTCAGGGAAGCAATGATTTGCAAAACGTCACGTTAGAAAGAATGATTCTTTGTTTATGTCAAGCTCTTTAAAATGTATTTTCTTCATCAGGACATACTACTGGCAGGCAACCTTGCTGTAATATATTCTACAACTATTTCTCATTAATAAAAATCAGGTTTGGCGGAGCTCCAATTTCAGGGGTAAAACAAAAACATTAACAATCTTATAACCACGAATGGAGAAAGAAGAGCACAGGATCGTGACTAAGGAGTATGGCCATTGTATAAGTTGCAATAAATAAGTCAATATTTTTTTAGAAAAAAGTTCCTCAAAAAACTTGTGTTGTACGTGCGCGCGCAAAACAAAAATATGTTTTTTTTCATAAACGGCGCTGTGTGACTCAAAGACTCTTAAACCACCGCTGATCTTGCAATGGCAATGCAATGGTTTTAACGGCATCAACATTGGTGAGACAATGGGTGATATGCATAAAGGCGAGTGGCTACTTTCGACTCGCATTTTTAAAGTAGCCACTCCATTTGATATGCATAAAAATGTGAGTAGAAGCTCACACTCATAAGTTTCTACTCTTTCCGTGAGGCTGTACTCGCTCCTTGAGTGCCGACTTTAATTTTTATATGCATAAAAGCGAGCGTCCACTCCGACCGCTGAGTACATACTTAAAGAAATGCGAGATACTTTAGTAGTAGACTCAGCTTTATAACAAGAGGATGTCTTCACGAAATGGCCGAGTTTATGCCTATTTATCAGCCTACGAAGGTGTTTAAAGATCGAAGGGAATCAAGGGAAGTAGACTATCGGGCCTTATATCGGCTTAGTAAAGTTAATATTGAGTGGATAAGTAACTATTTTCTTGGAGAAACAGAATAATATAGGGCGGAGCAATATAGAAAGAATGAGGGTTTTTTTACGATATGTGGGTGATCCAGGATTTCAAATTGGCATAGGAGACGGTATTGGTGTCCATCAATCTACGGTATCCCGAACCGTTACCAACGTTATAACACGCATTGTGCAGAAGTCGAATATTTGGATTAGATTCCCAACCTCATGTGAAGATCTACACAATGCTAAAAATAAGTGGCAAGAAAAGTTCAATTTTCCTTCGGCTATTGGTGCTATCGACAGCACCGATATACCTATTATGAAGCCGTTTATTCATGCAGACGAATATGTGAACGGAAAGAACTTTGCTAGTATAAATATACAAGCAATTCAAACGAAGAGTTCATAAGTGTGGATGTTTCTTGGCCAGGATTTGTACTCGACTCTCGGATATGGAAGAATTCTGATATATACAACGTTATAAAATTGAATAGGGCTAGTGCTGTTTTGTTGGGAGTCTCTGGGTATGGTATAGCTCCTTTGCTCATGACTCCTTTTAGGATTGCAGAAACAGCAGAACAAAGATCATACAATCGGCTGTTTACGAGAGAGCGAGTTATAATAGAGAGATGTTTCGGGCAACTAAAACAGGGTTTTCCCATTCTACATAACAAAATACGCTTCGATACAGAAAAAGTGCCCTCCCTTGTCATGAGTTGTTTTATCTTGCATAATGTGGCTAAGCACCTTAATGATGAAGATTTTGCTGTTGATATACCGGGAGATGGCGAACAAGAAGTAATCCATAACCAACATACTGCCGACTATGCAGATGGAGTGATACGTCAGAGAGGTCAATTTAGAAGAGATGCAATGTCAAGAATTATTCATGGCTTTCGAGTCTAAGTAAGTGTCTAGCATGATCCAAATTTAAAAATTATGTAGATATACGTTGAAGAACGATGTTTAATTACTCATAACAAAATTAATAACACTTTCAAAATGGTAAGTTAAGTATTTATGTCAGTTCTGTCCTGGAAATAGGATCATGAAAATTGGATTTCCAGTTTCTGCACTTTCATTTAAAATTGATACATTTGGATCAGATTCATTAATATTTTTCTTGTGAAATAGCAGTTCCTTAGCTAGCCGAAACACTTGTAATTGTTCAAGTAAAACGAGACGTTGGAGCTCTGTTATTGATAAATCTCGTGTTTCATCGGTTTCCACTAATCCTCGTTTTCCTTTTTTTTAGAAGGCTCCTTACTGGGTACGGCTTTCATTGTGGTAGCTTTCAGTACTGGTCCTGCACTTCCAGATGCTTCTTCTGTGATTGTTTCTTTTTCAGCACAGGGTGTTAGAGTGTAATCAACGCATTTGTTGTGGGCAACCTGCCAAATCAGCACCTAAAATATAAAATATATGCTATTTTTATTTATTGACATGTATATATATTATACTCAATCACATCTTATACCTACTGTATGGAAAAACAAAAAAATATAGCTAACATTGCAATCGAGGAATACTAGGATTTGATTCTCCTTGTAGAAAATTGAACAGTTCTTGTTCCCATCCTTTCAATTTTATTGGTTTGTTTCCGGTTTGATTACTGTCTGTCTTCGCTTTTAATCTGGTTTTTATGTTTTGATATCTGCCCTTCATTATATTTAACTCCTAATTCGGCTTCTACCTTTTCTTTTATTTCTTCAACCGCCTTACGTCGTTTATTTTTGATTTCCGGGATGTTCGATTTTTTCAACAAAACAGGATAGTGTTAATTATATTAACAAATACTGTTTGATTTTCAGATGAATGGTCTTCAGAATAGGTTGAGGTCATGTAAATGAACAAATAATAATCGACCTAAACACCACCGACATAAACGTTTACCGGTATACAGTGGTAACTGCTCGCAATACAGAAATTGCCAATTCGGCGAGACAACAAAATAAAAGTCGGAACTCGAAAACCAGAGTGCCTACTCGAGTATTTCATTAGCACTTTAGTAGCCTCTCCGTTTCTCGACAAATATTTTATGCATATCAAAACCGAGTAGGCTCTCTCTAACAGGAGTAGTTACTCGCTACAATATGGAGACGCTACTTCTGAGAACCCACTCACCTTTATGCATATCACCCAATGTCTGGTTGTTGGTTTAACATGCATGAAACAACGTTGTTTGCGGTTGGTCATGGATACAGAGACGTAAAGCAGCCTATATCTCCCAAATTTTTATGAGAAAACTTTTCGCCAATGAAATATGAACCGTTTCGCGTATTTTTCACTTATATCAGGCTTCAAAAATATAAAACCAGAAGTATACGGACTTTTGATCCTATGTAGCTCAGTGGTCAGCGCGTTGGTCGAGAAGGTCGACAAAAAGGGTCAAAGGTGGCCTAGTTGCCAGGCTTCGCTTCCCCACCACTGCTACATACGCACTTTTTTTGCAGTCCACAGATGTGCCACAAGAAACTGGCAAAACAGATTTCGCGAATAAATTTCTTTAAATGGATCTAGTATCTAGAGTTATCTCATATGCGGACAAATAATTGAATATAGAAAGCGACCTAGAATCCCATAAATTAAAATTTGCAAGTTTTTTCTTGACTGTATAATTCAATGTAATTTCCAGATTTGTCACTCACGAAAACTTGGTTTATGTACAGTAATGGACAAAAGTATATAGACAAATGTGAATATTTACCTAAATACCTTTAGAAAACAAAATCATCCTTCACTGCTCCGTAAACAAATGCGTTATTAGTAGAAAAACTAAATTCCTTTCTTTTACATTAACTAAATGAACACAATACAAGTCTGAATATAAGCACTTTTTTATAAGGGACAAATTCTTTTCAACGTTAGTTTAGTACAGTTTCGTGTCAGAAGAGGATTAGTTTGTGTTCATCAAGAATTGTGGAATAAGTTGAGTGATTTTAAGCCCATGCCGCGTAATCCAGAAATTTCTTTAGATGTGAAAACTTAGATCATTGAGTTATACAAAGACGGTCAACGTCAAGTCTACATTGCCAAAAATTTGAAGCTAAAGCGTAAATCAGTTTGGGCAATATTGAACAAATATATACAACAAGGTATCTTGGAAGCCTCTAAGAGAAGTGGTGGGCCTAGAAAACCAAATGCTAGATCAGTTAGATTAGTAAAAGTAATTTCGTCCAAAGATCCGTTTAAAACCCCAAGACGAATAAAAGGCGAAATCAAGACAAAAGCAATTGTCAGTGTTTCTACGAAAACGATACGTAGAAGATTAAATGATTTGAAGCTATTTGCACGTCACCCGAGTAAGAAGCCGCTAATCTCGAGGAAAAACCGTAAGGACCGATTACAATTTGCACGGTTGCATCTTGTTTCTAGCATCTGTGACTGGAAGAGGGTATGTTTCTGTAACGAATCCAACTTCGATATGTTTGGATCATATGGTGTTCATTACGTTAGACGTCCTAGTAGACAAAGATTGAACCCCAAGTACACTTTGCCCACTGTCAAACATGGGGGCGGGTCTGTTATGGTTTGGGTGTGCTTTTCGGGGTTTGGGATGGGACCTTTACATATAATAGATGGCATTATGGATAAGTTTGTGTACACAGACATACTAAAGCATGTCATGTTACCCTATATGGAAGACAATGTACCCTTAAGATCAATCTTCCAGCAAGATAATAACCCGAAGCACACTTCAAATCTCGCAAAGAAATTCTTTCTGGATGAAAAAATACCAGTTCTCAAATGGCCTTCACAGTCTCCCGATATAAACCCCATTGAAAATCTATTGGAATGCTTAGATAAGCAAATACAAAAATTATTCAAACAAGGATGAACTTTTTGCCGCTTTAGAGCAAAAGTCGAGACAGGTTGATGAATCTTATATCAAGAAACTTCTACAATCTATGCCAGGCGGTGATTGATAATAATGGTTATGCTACAAAATATTAACACAAACATGGTTGGTTTTCTATATTCCAATGAACTTTGCTTCTTTTTCTATAATTGTTTTGCTTTGTCTATATATTTTTGTCCTTCATAGTTCCAGTTTTTTCAATAGAGTTTTTATTGAAAAGAGTCTAATGAATTTATTTATGTAATATTAATAAATTATTAATTTGTCTATATACTTTTGTCCATCACTGTATATGTACATTTTTCACGGTTTATTCTTAGATTTGTCTTTCTGTTTCCAGTGGAAGCACAGAAGAATTTCCACGTAAGCAAAACCGGATACTACAAGCCAACTACCACAACCACTACTGATCATCCTCGACATACTACCGAGGCGCCACGGCCGACGCCCTTCCACTTTGTCACAGTCATGGCCATCACGGAGGCTTCACTTCAAACGAAAATAAACAACTTCAACAATCAGGTAGGCTAACGAACAGAGGCGTACCCAGCTCAAAACGAAAGGGGGCATCTTTTTTTGGTGGAAGTTCCACCAATCATAAACACTCACCTGTGATTAATATTTTTCTTTATATTTGTATTTCATTGTTTTATCTATTTTCGTAGAGGAAACAAAATTCAGGAGGAATTAATTGTGTGAAATCCGGCAGAACCCGTTTTTGCAAATTCTAATCGTCCAGTCACTTGTGTATGACTCCAAGCACAGCGCGAGCAACACGAGGTGTGCAATTCGAAAACATGTGGAGAGTAATAGCCAAACGTGAACCCTGTTGTAAAAGAAATTACACAGAAGAATTTATATATCCTTTAAAGTGAATGCTAAGGCTCCGCATCTTCAAAAATATCTGGGTAATTGTTTAAAGTTATAAGCCTGTTGAACAACTGGGAATTTTTTTGCTGAAAAGTACATAGAAGTAAATATGAAATAGAAGCCAAAAGTTAAAGTCTTTGTAGTGTTTAACATTCAAAGAACGTCAGAAACGCTCCAGCTATCAAGCGACGGATCTGCTGCAACAAATTACACATGAGCCTTTATATGTAACTAAATTACTATAAAACGTAATTAAAAATGTTACTTACAAAAATTGTGGACTAAACGCTTCCTACTTGGAACATACTGCTTCATACAGGGTGATTCAAATCGACATAGCAACAAAAGCGATTTTTTTAAGTGGAACATGGTACATATTTATGTATATTCTAATATATGACTTTAAAGGAAAAAGTTTTCTAAGTTCAAATACAATGAGAACCAGACCGACAACTACAGCAACTACCACTATCGTTCCTCCTCGTAAGTCATCAATCCTCTACTGGTCTCTTTTGGGATGATCCAGTCATAGTCAATTTACTTAGCCTCTGATGATATTCTGATCATATTACGATAACTACTGAATTTCTATGCTTTAGGCTTTTTGTTAGCAATTCTAATATATTAGTTCAAAGTAAAAAGTTCAAATACTTTTATAGAATATGTAGCAGGATATGTACCGAGTTTCTTCTAGAATTATTTGAAAAACGAATTTGTCACATGTTCACCATTGTGATCTCAAGTTCTCCAAAATCGGCCATAATTTTTTCAGAATTTATTTGGGATAGGATTTCAAACCGCACATTAACATTGCCTCTTTTTGATATGTGCAAGATGGCATAAACAGAACATATATAATATGATTTTTCGTCTCTTATCCCCCGACTCCACTTTTTTCTCATATATGCCATTTTTGCATAGGCGAATAACTTTTAATTCTGATTCCAAATGTCATACCGTATTATAAAAAATCAAAATTCTAACTATTCCACCATGTAGAAAAAAAATGGTTAGGTGATTGTATATTTCGTTTAAACTTTGCAGACAATGTGGATGTTTGAATAGTTCTGTTTCGGACTAAAGCCAGGACAAAAAAAGGCACTTGAGTGAAATTCGAAAATACTTCTAATTTCGATTTTTATTTACCTGAGCAATGTTGCCCCGATAAAGTACTCCGTGTCGTTTAGGGGAATGTCACAAGATCCGTATTTACTGTGATAGATCAATATATTATATTTATTGACTATATAGCCTGGACGTAAGTACTTGTTGATACATAATCCACTGATGGTACGGACCACAGTAAATACTCGTACTTCACGAACACTGAAGCAATTCCTTTTGCTTCTACCAATGATTAAAGCAGACCTGTTCTTTGAATGATTGTAATAATCACTTTCAACGTATTTCAGGTACATCCAATAGTAGAGTTCATACCACCACCGCAAGCTTTTGTACCGACCAGCACTACTACCACAACAATTGCTTCTACGACAACTACAGTGGCCACAACAACTACAAAAAGAACCAGACCGACAACTACAGCAACAACTACCATCGTTCCTCCTCGTAAGTCATCAATCCTCTGGTCTCTTTTGGGATGATCATAGTCAATTTATCTGGCCCCTAACGATACTCAGACTATACTACGATAACTGTCGAATTTCTATGATTTAGGCTATTTGTTAGTAATGTTATAATAGCTACCAGAATACTCAGTTGGCACAAACAGCAGATATAGTTACACGCACCTTCTGGAACCGTTCCTCTTGCGATGTGGGTCTGTATCAAGCACAACAAAAGCTGTTTTGCTGTATTCTCTCACGTTTAAGCTGCTAACTGATTTGAATAATTCGTTTTTATTCCGGCGTGATAAGTGTCGTTCATGTTTGATATATATATATATATATACAGGGTGACTTTGAAGTGGAGTCATTAATTTTCAGATAATGATTGTAGAAGGAAGATAAACCAAAATATGTGTGTAAAAATAAAAAAAAATAAAAAAAAAAATGTTACCTTGTTTTATAAAGTATCCTCCCGACAAGTATTTCAGTGCGGACCTGTATTTGATCATGCGGTCTTGGAGCACCGGCATGCTCTCCCCTGTGAGGTCTTAAGTCATCTGATTCACGAGCCCTTTGTACTACATTAACAAAGGCACGAGGGGTTGGTTGCACTCGATTGGGAAACCGATCCGCATAAATCCGTGATACCGCGTAAATAAGAATCATGTCCACAAGTTCAGCATTTTCGTAAACATGTGCGATTTTTTATTTCGTTTGAGCCACGCAACAGACACCACTATTCACTCACGCGTTACCGACTGACACTGACTGTATACAATGGAATAAAATAATTGTAAAAACATCGTTCCAAATTCTTTCGCTTTTTTGTTTCCGATGCGATTAACCGATAAGGCGGATTATATCCGTTGTTGCCAAACACGAGCACATAATATTATTATTGAGACAGGGCGGTACTCAAACTTCCAAAGGGCTATAACTTTGTTACTTTAATTTTACCCGAAAAATGGTAAAGGAAAAAAACATTTCTTTTGATCAGATCTACTCACTGTTAAAATAAATGACTCAACTTCGAAGTCACCCTGTATATATGTATATGTTGGTGCTTCAAAAAAATAGCACATCCGTCAGAATAACAACCATACATACAGGGTATTCATTCGAGAATTTGCCACCACGGATTTATCAAAAGCCACTGAATAAAACAAAAAACGTCACAAGACTTGTCAAGTGGGACAACTGTTTAATCAAAAACTACTTCACCCCACAGGGTCATCCCTTTAAGTATTTTAAATGACAAGGGGTATCGAGTAATAGCTTGTTCGAAAGGTCTTCAAAGTGGTTTATTGTTACGTTTGATTTTTTTAAATCAGTCAATTCGTTTTCAAGAAAATTAAAAAAAATCTTTAGTTATCTTAGTTTCTTCAGATGGAAAACAAAACACGAAAATATCACTTTTTATTTCAATAAGTGTTCAAAATGTTGCCCGTTATGCCAAACAATGATATTGGCGATGTTGAAATTCCTGACGGACGTTTTCAAAAACATGTTGTGGAATATCATGGCAGCTTTCGATGATGCGTTTTCAAACTTCATCCTTACTTTCAGGCTGGAGAGTAAACACAATAGATTACAAATGGCCCCATAGACAAAGTCTAATGACGTCAAATCAGGAGATCTAGCAAGCCAGTCTATAGGCCTGCTTTGCCCTATCCATTTATCTCTAAACTCGTCGTCTAGCTATTGCCGAACTAGAAGAACATAGTGAGGAGGAGCGTCGTCTTGCTGGAAATATATTTCAGCCTCATCAAGTATAGGGTTTCCATCCTCTTCAATTTGGTTTTCAATGGTCTCAGTGATAAGCGGATTGACGGTATTTTCCAACATATCCAAACAAATATCTCCATTCAAATTTCCATTAATAAACAATGGCCCAATCACTTTGTTTTTTAAACTGCCTGCTCATACATTAATTTACTGCGTATGCCCTTCTACAAAAGCATGAGGATTTTCATTGCTCCAATACCTGCAGTTATGCTTATTAACAATTCCATTTAGATAAAATGTGGATTCATCACTGAAGCAGATATTCTTTAGATGAATGGTATTATCATTAATCGCTGCAGTCATTTGTCCACAAAACTCAACTCGCCTATCGAAATCGTCTTCGGTTAACTCTTACAATATTCTCATTTTGAATGTACAAAATTTATGGAGTTTAGTAACTGTGTACAGAGCCAAATGAAATACCAGTAGCAGCAACAATTTTGCGTAATGAAGTATTAAGATTTATTCTAAATTCACCAAAAACAGCGGCTTCATCCAAAACTCTCCGATGATAATGTTTTTTATTTGCAACAGATCCAGTTTGAATAAATTTAGTAACAAGGTCATACTTATGCAAAGTTATCTTCCCCAGATTTCTGGAATTAAACGTGACGGAAGTTTGTTGAGCTCTTTGATTTTGGGTACCCGAATCATTTCTACTCTTTCGGGTAGTGTGTAAACCATTTTGGAAGTAAGATCTGAATCAATAAATTAATTTTCACTATCCCAAGATTGTCACAAAGGCAACTGACAGCAAATTAAGTTCTTTCTTTCCCTTGGCAACAATTAACTAAATAGATATAACAATAAATACAGTTCACCTAGGATATTTCTGTTAATGTAAATGCGGAAAAAAATCAGATTGTTATTTGGTTGTTGCCAGGTCTAACTTTCCGAATTTCTGTTTATGTTGGTAGTTTCGTTTTAAATTATAAACGAATTGTAGATTTTTCAAACCCTAACGGGGCAACATTTTGAACACTTGTGTGTTTTTGTTTTTTATCTGAACAAATTAAGGTAAATAAAGATTTTTCTAATTTTCTCGAAAACGAAGCTACTGATTTAAAAAAAATAAACGGCAACATAAATCTTAATGAATGATAATTAACTTACGGTATTGAGAAAAGATATAGCTCAACATTTTTAAAACCTTAGACACTCATTTTTGTACAATTACTGCTTTATTATTTACCGAATCCAGTCGATTTTATGATGCCGATATTTAACGTCTGAAATTTGAAACAGTATCACTTTCAAGTGATCTATCTATTTCAGGTTCCTGTGTGGTACAGAGGCCACAGTTTCCAGATCAGCATATTAGAGAAGGATCTTTCAAAAGGGTGAGTTACTATGTGTTTAACTGAAAAAACTAGATTCTTATAGTCCATAGCCTTGGATAAGATTTCGCTATGAGATGCGATTCCGTATGACCACCTTACAGTCTACTATAAAAAGGAAATGGCGGACATTCATTTTCAGATTTCTCGATCTAAACACAATTCCAGAAATCCAACTCACGTCTTGACCATACGAAATACGTGCCAGAAAAACCATTATACTTGACATGCTCTTTATGAACATATCATCTTCTCGGGAAAAGTGTTCTTGGAATTCTACAGGTTGCGGCAGAGAGGACGGACGTTTTTGGGATGGGTAGTACTCTCCGCCTTCGTCTAAGAGAGAGGTGGGGAGGGTGCCGTTTGACTCGTGAGATCCTAGCATTATTTTACCAGTTGTCGTTATGGAGCCTTAGACGGTGGAGCACGGCGTTTTCGCCTATGATTGTTTCGTCCGAAATAATGAGTCAGTCATCGTCGTACAGCGTGAGTTTCGTCACCACTTCAACCTTCATCGGAATAGAGCTGTTCCCTCTCGAAACACCATTCTTCATTGGGTTGAATCACTTCGCAGGCGTGGTGAACTGATCAACAGAAGATTAGGAGGAGCGCCGCGAACAGTTCGAACTCCTGAAAATGTTGAACGCGTTCGACAGGTCTTTCTTCGCAGTCCGACTCCATCTGCCCGGAAACAGGCTGCTGCACTTCGCCTTAGTGATCGTTCGGTAAGGCGAATTTTGTATATGGATATCCGCTTTCACCCCTACAAATTGGCCATTGTGCAACAGTTACAGCCCGGAGATTATGCACAACCAATGAACTTCGCACGTGAGATGGAAGCACTGATCGATCAGAATGAGAACCTCATTTTGTTTATGAGTGACGAAGCCCACTTTCACCTAAACAGCATGGTTAACCAGCAGAATTGTCGTTATTGGGCTAATGAAAATCCGGAACAGTTACACGAAAGACCGCTGTACAGCCCAAAAGTAACGGATTGGTACGCTGTATCGCAAACTTGCATCATTGGCCCTTACTTCTTCGAAGACGGTAATGGTCGTGATGTTACCGTGAACTCAGAGCGCTACGTCGACATGATCACCAACTTCTTTCTCGCTGAATTACGACGGCGACGTGTTCCAATCCGACGTGTGTGGTTCCAGCAGGATGGGGCGACCGCCCACACAGCCCGAGCATCCATGGACGTTATTCGACCTCTCTTCCCTGGTCGCCTTATTTCCAGGTTTGGCGATGTTCATTGGCCTCCTCGATCCCCAGATTTATCCATATGCGATTTTTTCTTATGGGGACACCTCAAGGCTAAAGTATACGCAAACAAGCCCCGAACTCTGGACGAATCGAAGGGCGAAATTTGCGTGGAAGTCGTCCAAGTTGAGAGAACGATTTCGGCCACCACATGCATGATGTGATTTTCCACACTTGACTGTCTCAAATGCTATTGCCTTGTGAACCTGATTCCATCAATAAATTTGCTTTCGAGTATACATTAACTATTTTATGATTCTTTTAAACACATATAAATCCGAACACCCAGTTTAGATGGTTTTATTTTAATAAAATTTTGTATAAGTACTTAATGAAGCATAATAAGTAAATGATAAAAATTTCAAAATAATTGCACTACTTTAAAGCCCTTTGACCTTTAATAATGTGTGGATGCACCCTGATGTGCTACGCATTCTCCAACGCGCCTAGACATGTTTCTGATCAGATGGTCAATGTCCTCCTGTGGTATCTCATTCCAGGCAACCACCAACTCCTCTCGAAGTGCTTCTAGAGTCTGAGGAGGACGTTGCAAATTGATCAATCTCCTACCCATCATATCTCACACGTGCTCAATTGGGGATAAGTCGGGAGATATTGGTGGCCATGGTAACAATGTGACGTCATTATGTTGAAAGAAGTCTATTGTGACTCTTGCAACATGTGGTCGGGCATTATCTTGTTGGAAAGTTGGATCTGCCAGGGTGTCAAGATAGGGTAAAAGATGGGGTTCTAGAACTTCGTGTATATAACGCTGCGCGTTCATGTTACCTCTGATGAAGATTAAAGGTGACCTGGAATCATAAGCTATAGCACCCCAAACCATAACTCCAACAGTGTGATGAACATGTCTTTCAACAAAAAACTGTGGATTCCTCCTTTCACCACGTCGCCTTCTTACCCTGGCACGACCATCGTGCATGCCTAAACAAAAACGAGACTCGTCACTAAAGACAATACTGTTCCATTCCTGATCCCAGAGTGACCGTTGTCTTCACCACTCAAGGCGATTACGTCGGTGTTCTCGAGTTAAAGGGAGGACCCAGTGTGGCCGGTATGAAAACAAGCCAAAACTTCTCATTCGTCGGTAAACACTTCGCATGCCAATAGGTCTTCCGTGTTCTGCAAACCATTCATTTGCAATGGACCTGGTAGTGGAGAAACGGTCCTTAAGGCCAATAATCTTAGGCGGCGATCTTCACGGTCTGTTGTTCTACGGCGGCGTCCAGTGCCCCTTGCTCTTTGCGTGCGGCCTTCTCGAAGCCATGCCTGACAACACCTAACCACAGTGTCTACACTTCTTTGCACTCTAACTGCAATTGCCCGAAAAGAAAGTCCAGCTTCCCGAAGTCCCACTATACGGCCCCTATCAAACTCACTAAGTTGACGAAATCGTACAGGTCTCCGTACTCTAGGCATCGTAACCGATCGTAAAGGATGTCAAGAACCAAAATCCGCCAACGTTGATTCTTTACTGCGGCTGAAATATTCATTTTTAGAGCGTTAGTGAATTAAAAAAAAGCAGTATAAAAACCGGAATGTCCAACTGATAAGGCTGAAAATTTTTTCACTTGTTATTTACAGTAAGATAAATACATTCACCAACTTTTATTGAAATAAAACCATTTAAACTGGGTGTTCGGATTTATGTGTCACTTAGTATATTAATCACCAAAGTTTTCGAATGGTATACGGTCGTGTAGTAATAAGAAGATTCATTTAGCACGCTGCATACACAATATTTTGAAATGAGATTTTTTATTTTTAGGAAGTCATGTTCAAGATTTATTTAATAATTCCTGGAAAATACTTTTTAATTTAGTCAAACTATTCTGGTCTCTCGTACCTGTATCTAGTTTACTGTATTCATCCAGTTCTTGATGAAACACGGATTTATAACATAGAGTTTTTCAAAAAATTATTCATCATTCCTTGAGTGGAGGGTAAATAACGTAAAAAGTTCGTATAAACACAGATCCTAGAACGCCGCATTAACTAGATACTGGATGCTGTACGCCATTGATGATACATTAAATACAAATTATGACTATTCTCTACGTATAATGTTTAATGTCAACTTTCACGAGCTTCATTATATTTTCAAAATATAACAATTTTAAGTTCAGTAGGGACCAAAATATACCTGTTTCTACGGCACTGGTGTAGTTGGAGATGTTATAATTTTTGCTTGTATTGCTTTTGCGATAAGTACCGCATGTTCAAAAACCTAGGTCACAATACAAGAAATGTTTCAGAAAAGTCAGTGGCGCAGAAAATTTCCTTCTTTTACGTTCTGTAGGGGACAAAATATCTTCGTTTCTATGCCACTGGTGTAGTTAGGGACGTTAACATGTTTGTATTGCTTATGCGACAAGTATTACATGCTCAGAAACTTAGTTCGGTACCTCTACCCACTCGTGTACCTGCATAGCGATATTTTACAACCAATATTTATAGGAAGTTTGTGTTGTTTTCAATATATCTTCTTTCTGCTCTAAAAATATTGCCGTTGTTTTCTTAATCACCAAGTATATGATTACTTATTTCTGAAAATCGATACATAGCTGCAGAGTTAACGGAAACGATATTAATCCTTTTTAAACTTCATGTGTTGCATACTTTTCAACTTAGAGATAATTTTTGAGCACTGACAAAAAATCTGGAATTTGGAAAATCTCTAATTATGTGACCATTTTCAGAGTTATGGATCACTTCTGGATGAAAAATTTTTAAGTTTGATACTCTGATGTATATGATTGCGTGGAAAGTACGAAGCCAATCTGCCATTATTTTAAAAAAAATAGATGAAAGACCAGTGCCAGTGGTGTAACCTAAGCTGCCTTTAAGTGCTTAAGACAACCGCTACTCCCAGCCTGCTCTCCATTTCAAAGCTTTATGACCTAGAATACAACTAAAAAACAAGATTAACGACCAAGTTTAATGTAGCACAAATATTTGCAGAGATGCTAAGCGTAACGACGCGATTTTTCATCCAATTTCATGAGAAATGGCGCTTACAACTGTGCACTTTTGCGTCTTGCTCGGGGCAATTAGCCAAGGGATATAATTAGTTCGCATTTAGGGCTTCGTTGAAATATCGAAACGTTGCTGGCTGATACATCTGTTGCAAGCTATCCTATATTACACAGTTTGAAATTTCATTATAGCGTAAATGATGAAACAATGCGCATCAGTGATCGATGCTCTGCAAATTATAATACAATTATGTTAATTCTAGTTTGAAAAACATGTTCGAAGCATGTTTAGTCAGCCAACACTAAAAAGATACCGTAAAATGTTTGTAGTATTTTGCAGACATGCTCACTCATATTAGTATTGGTTTGCCTGTATAACATCTAGAAGTAGCAGAACATTTGAAAAAAAGCATATTTTTAAACCTATCTTGAGGGTAGATGTAAATCAAACATTTATTCTTTTCCTATTGCTTTGAAGAAGTTACTTAGGTGGTGATACATCTGTCAACATGCCTCGCGTTTGTACATTTGCTTGCTGTTTTTATGGGTCATAGACGTCAAAATATGAAAAAAGCAATCCCGTCATTAATTCAGAAATGTTCTAATGGGTGACTTTTTGCTAGTATCTTTTTGGCAATACTGTTTTTGACAGATGACGCGTGAATCATGTCTTGTGTCATTGTCAAACTTGTTCAGTTTGGTCTATAATTTAACCATGAGTCATCTTACGAACGAACAACGCTTGCAAATTATTGAATTTTACTATCAAAGTTCATGCTCGGTTAAGAGAGTGCGTCGAGCACTGCTTGAAATTAATGAGCAATTTGGTCGGCCTACTGAGGGAGCTATTCGGAAGCTTGTGACTAAATTTCGAATCAAGTTTACATTATTGGACATTAAACCACCAACACGCAGACGTAGAGTGAGGATTGAAGAAAATATTGCGGCTGTATTCGCCAGTGTTAGTGATGACCGTGAAATGTAGATTCGCCGCCGTTTGCAGCAATTGGGCCTCTGTTACTCCACTACGTGGATAATTTTGCGACAGGATTTGGGTGTAAAACCATATAAGATACAGCTGGTGCAAGAATTGAAGCCACACGACCTCCCTCAACGTTTCCCATTTGGTGAATGGGCGCTGGCAAAGTTGGAGGAAGATCCACATTTTTATCGAAAAATTGTGTTCAGCGACGAAGCTGATTTCTGGTTGAATGGATACGTTAACAAGCAAAATTGCCGCATCTGGAGTGAAAACCAGCCAGAAGCATTGCAATAGCTACCAATGCGTCCCAAAAAAATCACTGTTTGGTGAGGATTATAGGCCGGTGGCATCATCGGGCCGTACTTCAAAGACAACAATGGCCGGAACGTAACTTGTGAATGGCGAGCGCTCCCGTGCGATGATAACAAACTTTTTTGCCCAAAATGGAAGAGCTGGACTTGGCTGGCATGCGAAACAATGGCCCTATTAAGAGGCGAGTTCGGTAAACAGTTTATCTCACGTTTGGGGCCCGTCAATTGGCCGTCTAGATCGTGTGATTTAACGCCGTTGGACTATTTCTTGTGGGGCCATGTTAAGGCTAATGTCTACAGGGATAAACCAGCAACGATTGACGCACTGGAAGCCAATATTGAAGCATTTATTTGTGAAATACCGGCCGATATGTTGGAGAGAGTGTGCCAAAATTGGACCTTGCGCATGGGCCATCTAAAGCGGAGCCGCGGCCAACATTTACATGAAATAATCTTTAAACATTAAATTATATCGACCGTTCTATCGACTCAAATAAAGGTTTAATCGTTTTTTCAAATTTTTTTTGAAAATCAAATCCTATACCTCTTAAAAAATCACCCGTTAGTAGTTTAACTTGGATGATCGTAATAGAAGTAATAATAATAGTAATAACGGTCGAGCTGGTACAGGCGAATAAGCGCGACGTAGACCTCCTCGACCACAAACAGAAGACGATGTTCGTTATTGAGTTTTCGAATCCCGCCAAAGTGAACATCGTCTCGAAGGAGGACGTGAAACGGACCAAATATCAGGAGCTCCGCAATCAGCTTCGGAGACATTGCCCAGACCACAGCGTTAATCTGCTAGTTATGGTCATTGCATCCTTGGGTGGGATGAGGAATACACTTCTCACTGCAATTGAATCTATACCGATATGTCGAGCATCAGCAAACAACTTAGCCGGAAGAATGCAGAAAGCATCTACGGAGCGCACCCGATTTGCAGGCCAACTAACAGGTTACCTCACGGTGTGTGGAATGGCTGGTTGGTAATGGAATAGCAACTTGGTGTGTCGAATCCCAGGTTGTAAATGTTCCTTTTTATTTATTTTTACACGCTTATTTTATAATAATAGTAGTGCTAAGGAGAATTATAATAATAGTAATAATAATAATGTTTTATTTGACTTTCCACATTATCTCTATCTCGGAGGGAATAAAATTATTTACGATATAAGAAGTTTACTGTTTTTTTACCAGTGGTATCTGTATGTAAGTGCGTGATTTTTTCTTGTGTGATACTATTTTGTTTGCATTTCATATTTGACATTATGAGTGTGAGATCCAGCTTTTAGTAAACCGCGCAAGTGAGGGTTTTAAAGACATATTTGTATACCTATTTTATCGCGATCATCCATTTAATTCTCCCCATTACAAGCTCTGTTATCCTGTAGGATGATCAAATGATCATAGGTGACATTTCTTAACAATCCCCTGTTTACAGATCTACCACGAAGATGAATTCGAATGTTCGGACATCTGCGAATGCGAAGTTGGTGAGAAGCTTACCTGCAGGACGATATGTATAGACAGAATGCCCTGCAAAACGGAGTTCGCATACTACAATCATGCCGCACCTGCTTATCAAGCTTACAGGTACGTCTGTAATATTTTAAAATACACATGATTTCATCAAATATTTGAAATTGATGAAATTATTGAAGGTTGACTATTGTAGATTGTAAATGCTCTTAATTGGAGGAACACTTCCGTCATTTGATTGAATAGCATAATTTATTGTACAAAGTAGTGATGTAACGATACTTCGTATTCGCGAATAGTCGCATGTTTCTTGATATTCGCTCACAACCGCATACGCAAAATTCATGCGAATATGAATATCAAAAAAAGATAATATGAAAATAATATTGCTTAAACAAACAAATAAGTATAAGGTTTTCTTTTGCTAGAAACGCATGTTGCGATAGACAAACAAAAACTTGTAATCGTGAAAATTTTCGAAAATGAGATATGTTTTTGGACGTTATACAGGGTGGCGCATCGAAAACGAAACAGACGCATTTACTGGCAGCTCAGTTTTTTTTAAAAAACCGCTCAGACCCGTCGATTTTGTTTTCGAGGGGGACACAAGTTTGGCACGTGCAGCCCCCTAAGCGGAGGTGACACCACCCCCAAAATCTTAAACGGATAGGGGGGTCGAGTGATACCTTATTATAAAGGTCTTTCAATTCCCTTTATAATTATATAAAATTAATGTACTTCAGGTCAGTAGTTTTGAGGATTTATTGATTTAAAGCTTAAATAAAACTAATACATCATCATTAGTGGATATCAATACCTTTGGCAGCAAAGTAATTTAAAAATGAAGAATGAACTGAACCGTTAAGCAAGTAAATATTGAAAATGGTCACCATGACTCTCCATGCAATAATAAAGATTTTGCTCAAAACGTTACCATACATTTTGCAATACTTGAGGAGTAATTTGAACGCACTTATTCACAATTCTTTGTCGCAGGTCTTCTAATGATGTTGGCTGAGTGGCATAGATTTTGCTTTTTAAATGACCCCACATAAAGAAATAAAAAGGTGATAAATCTGGCGATCTTGGCGGCCATTCAATGGCACCTATTCTACCAATCCATCGATCTGGAAACGTCTGATCTAAATATTGTCGAAAACGTAATGCGCAATGTGGTGGGGCACCATCCTGTTGGAACATAAACCTATTCGCAATGTACCGCCGATCATTCTGATTTTCAATTATGGCTGTTAATGCAGGATCTATGGCGTCTTCCAGTAAAAAGGACCAACTAAATGATCGCCAAAAATACCAGTCCAAACATTTAATTTTTGTGGCTGCTGTGTATGAACCTCATGATAAATTCTGGTATTAGAATCGGACCAATATCGGCAGTTATGACGATATACTACGCCATTTAAGAAAAAGGAACATTCGTCGGAAAAGCAAGTGTTGAATAGAAAATGTTCATCGTTTATAATTCGTTCACTCATATCTTCACAAAATTGTAATCGCAGATCAAAATCGTCTTCATTAAGTTCTTGTACCAGGTGAATTTTATACGGATGAAAACAATGGGCCTTTAGAATCCGGACAGTACGTCGACTAACACCACACACAGTCTCCAATTTACGGGTACTTAACGTAGGATCTACATAAACTTGCCCTAAAATCCCCACTTATATTGCTTCGTTCCTTATGGGATTTTCAATGTTGCGTTTTTTATTGGCGACTGACCCAGTTTCCAGAAATTTAGCTACAAGTTCTAGAACATATTTTCGATGCACGTTACTGTTCTCATGTCGCTCATTAAATATTTCTGCTGTTCTATTAACGCACTGATTATTTCCGAAAAATATTTCGATAATTTCAACTCTTTCTGCTGTGGAATATACCATGGTTAATTTATGTAATATAGCGTTACAAGTTATTTTAGCAACAAAGTTTGGTCAAATCAATCGCAAACTATGTACTAAATTCCTATTCAAAATAAGTACGAGATATTTCCTTATCTTTCTTCAAGAAATAACTTTTTTGCCACAAAAAAACGCTCCGATAGCTATTTTCAACAACAAAATGATAAACAAACCATGGGTGTAGTGAAGAAAAGCATTTACTTATTAAGTAAATTCTTTTAGTCAAATTTCGTCTGAAACTAGTACAAACTAATCTGATGTATCTACTCGTATTAAAGTCTACTGTAAGCTTTGAATCAATAAATCTTCAAAACTACTGAACTGAAGCTCATGTATTTTACTTCATTTACTTCAATTTAAGATTTTAGGGTTGGTGTCCCCCTCGAAAACAAAATCGACGGGTCCGAGTAGTTTTTTGACGTTCCAGACGATCCTAATCATTTTCGGAAAATTTTTGTAGTGTTAACAGCTTCTAGGGAGGATTTATAGGTATCAATTTTTTAACGTTGGTATATTTATACGCCTCCAGCTCCAGTAATTCTACGCACAGGTTAGGCATATTTCACTCATCATAGATGTCCCAATTACCCAACTGGGGATATCTCCTACAGGCGGGTGTAAGTACGTACGTGCGACGTCGTCCCTCGGTGGACAATTGGCAATCGCTTCCACACTACTGTGGGCTGCGTTAACTGTGAGAGGAGAAAGGTCATTTAACTTTTTGTTAAACATGTTCGTGTCTAACTTTTTTCTCAGAAGGGCTCACTCGTGCCAAATATAGTCCTTTATGGACTTATCACAGCGTAGCGTGGGAAGTGTAGAGTCAACTTACTTGACACTATTTTTTTCTTGCTATTGTAAGCAATCAGTAATTTCTCTTTACAGAACACAATTCTCGTTTGATTTGTTATTGAAGTGTGACAGTCCAAACCATAGATCAGGCTGAAAAATCGGTAAATGTCTGGCTCACTTCGGATTCCTAAAAGAAAACCTGAGCTAACCTAGATGAACTTTACCAAAAAAATATAAACTTTCTAATTTATCAAGGAGCTACACTTAAAAATGAGCATCTTTCAGATTGATAACATGGATTGCCACAAAAGTATAATTGTAAGCAAACTTAAGAGAATTTGAATTCGGTGGATTTTGCATGTAAACAAAATAAACATAACCTAAACGCAGCAAGTGATGACAAATCTCACTCAGCTGAGCTTTGCTAAAAACGATGCGTAATCAACCGAGCAAACTGGAAGTCTGATTTTGTGTAAAACGGATGCAGCTGTAATTATGGAATAATACCTTCGAACAAACAAAAACATACCATTTTTTACTTTTATCAGTCTTTGATTATAAATATTTTATGAATAAACAATGCAAATAGAAGCAACAAGTTTTTTAACTAGTAGAAAAGATGATTTTTATAGGCTAAACATACATTTGCTTTCTTCTTTTTATTTGAATAGAACTCAAGAATCAAGCTATAGATATAACTAGATGATTATTAAATTTCAAAAGTGAAAGCTTCGCAGTCTTCTCTCCTTCAAGTATATTTTGATGTGGTGTATAGAGAAGAAAAGCTAAATATTCGGTGTTCGCATTCGTATTTGCAAATATCATCAGTAGATATTTGCATTCGCATTGACGAATGCCTAAACATTGATATTCGTTACGTCCCTAGTAAAACTTTCTTAACTAAAACAGAGCCGCTTTCCCTTAATTTCAAAAGCGTCATCAGACTGACATTGTGTGGCTATGCAGGTCATTTGTATACCGACTGAGCTTTAGCATGAAGACGAAGCTAATACTACAAATACGAGTATTTGAACGTAATGCCCTGTATTTTCTGTGTTGCTATTATTTCAATTTTCCTTTCTCTTTATTTTGGGAGTATTTGCACTTGGGTGCATGAAACCCCTAGGAAACCTCAGAAATCATTTTTATCAATAATAAAATAAACTGAATACAAAATTTGTTTTAAACACGAATATAGTATCAGTCGCAAGACATCACACAATTTATTATTTTTGTATACATTTATTTTGACTAAATATTGAGAAATGTACACACGTAGAATACATATACAACATTCATTTGACATCAATTGACGTGACTTCCCTTTTGATATGATATGTATTTCATGTATCGTATTAGATCAGTACAAAAACTATTTTGTCTGTCACTCTGTAAATTGTTCCGGCTGTTTGATGTCTAGAAATAAACACGCTCCTAAATGGAACAAATGAAATTTTGACGAAGCAAAAACCGATTGCTTTTAAATACTATTGGATGTGCACGTGATTACAGTTTTCGTCCTCTACATCAAACAATTTCCCCAGTGGCACTAATGAGTACTCTAAGCTTTTGAAACTGTAGAATCAAACAAAAAACAAAAAAATCATTATTTAGTTGCTAACACCGCGGCTTAGATTAATCTGCGTACAAACTTTGCTTATTGTAAAAAAAACAAAATGCAGGGCTTGAAAAGCAGTTCGAAGTGCTCGTAATGCACAGAATATCCTTAGCTTTCGCTGGAACGGGCTGAATTGCGAACTGAACGACAGATAAAGAAAATTTAATCGGAAAGTATTTTTTTGTTTGCATATGGATCGGTCTTGACCGGAAAGACTAAAGCTGGTATTGTTTTGTGCGAACCGACTGTACAGTGTGACCGATATAAAGCGGACTGATTTTTTTTTTCAAAATGAAATAGACGTCGCGCCAAACTGAGCCGTCCTTTGAGAGGGTTATTTTGAACATCTTCCCGATTATTGTTCTTTAGCTGCTGTACACTACTCGATTTGTTGCCATGAACCTCATTTCTCAGAAACCGCTACGGATGCACACCCGGTGAGCTGAAATCCAGTGATCAAAAGCCCTGGAAATAACTTCACAAGAAGTTCTCCTAGCAGTGTGATACGTTACTCAATTCTTTTGAAACCATATTTCTTCCAGCATAAATTGTCGACCCTTAGGAGCCACAGAGTTTTGTAACATATGGTGGTAACGCAAGTTGTGACACTAAGGAAACTACCTGTAGAGTGTCATCAGACGCTACTTTTTTGAAGATGCTGCAATAATTTCATAGATATGTGTAGTTCCTTTCGCGATTTTTGGTGGTTATGTCATACGAAATAAGTAAACAAAATGATTCTTATCGGAGCTGCTGGGAGACCCATTGTTTTATTCACTTTCTAAAAATGCTTCTATAAACACAGATAGCGCTGATATTGTAGTTTTATCTTCAGGTATTGCTATATTTTATATCGAAGATCAGCAAAATTTAGAAAAACTAAAATAGCACGTTCATGGTAAGTAGGTTGTTATACTATCAGTGACAAGCATAAACAAGTACGATGACGGAAAAATGTTCAAGGGAGTGAAACAAAACTAGAAGACGTATGTCTGAGAGCTTACACAAACGTCCATCATAGAGGCCGATTGCATATCGTGAGACTCCGCACGTACCGGCGTAACTGACATTTTACAAATTTTACAGGAGAGCTAGAATACGAAAATCAGCAATTAATAAGATTGAAAATGACACTGATTTTTTAGTCGGCATGTTGCTGTTTTTTCCTTCAGACTAAAATTAAGTAGAACTTTGTTATGGGATGATTATTTTAGCCAGTACGTGAAAATTGTTTTCGGAATTTTATCACCTTCGCAATTTTACTTCCAAGCAGCGAACTGATATACAGTTACGTCACTTCGTGAGGTGAGAGACTACAAAAAAATATGTGAAATTACGGCGTGACTCGATTTTAGATATTTTTTTTTTGTCATTTACGTCTGTCGTGTGGAGACCGACGATATGTATGTGTGAGGGAGATGGATGTATGAAAGTAATTCTTGTAATTTTATTGTGACCCACCACAAATCAAAGCATAATCAGAGTCAAGCGAATAACCAAATGAAAATGGTATTTACAAATGACGTCATCCGTCAGCTGATTTAGGTCATACTTATCATCATAAAACTGTGGTATTTACCCAACTCCGGAGCTTTATATTTCTGGTTATTATTTGAGATGTGACAAGGCAGAATTTATGGGGGTATTGGATATTTTTGTTGTACTTCAGATATATTTTTGGGGAACTTGATACAAGCTGACTTCAGTTTTAGCATAAAGTAGAGCACCTTATTAGTTATACTCATTACTGTTGATGGGGACACTTTAAATCTAGTTCCTATGCTTAACAAAGTATCCGCTGAAGCCATATACCACAGGAATATTATAATATGTCCAAATAAACAATAACTAACTGGATAGTGTCCACCTAAATACGGTTTTGCAGAAATCTTGTCTCATTGCTTTTTCCTATCATTTTTGCGAAATCAATAAATGTTTTATTTGTTACGCGGAAAAGTTTAAAGAATTGAAAGTTATCATAGCTACAAAGCTCATGGTTCCACCATTAAATCTTTGGGCGTCATATCTTTTATTTTCACGACACACTTGTTTAAAAATAAGAGAGATTTTTTCAAGTGAGCAATATCTTCTCAAACAAGAACATTTCTCCCATTAATATTATGACTTTTTTAAACTTTCCATATCACTGTTGTAGACGGAAAAGCACCAATTATTAATTAATAAAAATAATCCGAATTTACGAGTATAAACGCACTTTTCTGAAATAAACAGCTTGCAATAAAAACATAGTCAAAACTAACGCGTTCAAGCGATTCCAGTAACTGACGCCATCAAACAGTGTATCATCTTAAACGGCATGATAACCGCGATAAATAGCATAAATATTGGTTATTTGCATGGATGTGATTCTTGATTTTAAAAATGTATCTTTTTTTCTTTTACTTATTTCTACTCAACACCCAACTTTCAATAAAGAAGTAAGATGAAGCATATGACTGTGTATATTGACCACTCACTGTAATAATATGTTTGCTTTTTGCAGTCACTGCTGCTGAGACTTGAAACCCAAATGATTATTTTCAGGGGTCGATGTCTATGTTACTCGGGCAGATTCATCTGTATGAAGCCAATGCCTAACGATTACAACCTGCCGCAAGGCATTTACCTGTTCCTAGGCTACAGCGAGGTAGATGAAAGGGAGTTAAACAGAAATCATACTGTTGTCATCGTACAGGATGTCGTTAGGGTGCTACAGAATATTTTAGAAGATGAAGCCGTTAATGGGGTTAGTAAAAAGTTTTCAACATATTCTTTATAGTACAATCATTTGATGCTACAAAAGGAGGTTGCTTAGACAGTTCTCCGTAAGTTTTAATAAATTGACGTTTTTACAGATTTCAAGATTTTTCTGAATTTTGACTTTGGTACCGGGCGTCCTCTCCGCTTGAGCCGCCTTACTAGAGAAATGGTACCCAAGAACTCTTTTTGTGATGAATATAGTTATATAAAAAATTGAACTAGACAAAAATTAATACAATTTATATGCTTAGCATTTTTGTATTATTAACAATTTTGGAGTATGAAAGTGGCAAATATTAATCTAACGTGAATATACGGAAAATCGTTAGTTAATTCAACGGTTTGGAGTTTAAGTAGTAGTAGAAGTAGTAGTGAGGGGACATAGCTGACAACTATTCCAACTTTAATCCTTTTTGGAGACCCTGTAGTACCGACACTGTACTACTCCACATGCTTGTCTACTAGTAACTAGTAATTATTGAATAAGGCAGATCCAGCGAAGTGATATTCCTATTTGACCTTGCACTGATCTGGTGCATAAATATCGGGTGTTTGAAATTTGACTAATCATTGGGACCTCAGAAACGGTAACAGATGCAAAGTTGCTCATTTAAGTAACTAAGAAAATCGCTCTGCAATTCAGAGTCTGTTCGGAGATAGACGAAAGAAACCGAATTTTTTCAAAATCGTTCCTTTTTGCCGACTTCATTTAAGCTGGGATTTCAAAATAAAAAATACATCGACATTGCCACGTTTTCTCCTCTACAATATGGCTTAATTAAAATTTCAATATAATGTTTCGTCTCTTGTCCTTAACCATCAACTTTACTATTTTATAGACGCAATATTAGATTTTATCTTCCTATAGTTTCTCTTGACTCATCGAATAAAGAACAATCTAATGCTAAAACGTTTTCGTATGATTTTAGGGTAGTATTGGAAACATTAAAAAAGGTATTATTTTATGTAACTGAAAGACATTTTGGAGTAAGCAAAAGCCTCGATGTTGCAGCCTCCTGACTGCATGTCATATCCCTCATATCTAAACAGATGCACACATCTTGCATTTAAAGATGTATGGCTGAGGTGCCGTGTAGAGCGCTTGTTATAGTCGAATGTCCTGTAGATACGGTATTCAGAAACTAAGAATTTGGATATTTAATCGGATAAACGCGTGCTTTTCAAGCCCAACTTTGACAATATTAGTTTTGACAACGTCAATGTATAACATAAATATATTATACATTTTTGGAACCATAACTAAAAACTCTATTTCACTGTGCAGAAGTCCAATACAGCTTCTATAAGAAAAAATAATGTTGATGAGGACAAGAGACGAAACACGTCACATTGAAATTCCGGAAATGCCATCCTGTTTAGGAGAAAAATTTTCATTGTTAATGTGCATTTTATTTTGAAATCCCATCTCAAATAAAGCTATAAAAAATTAAAACTATTTTGAGTAGACACGGTTTCTTCTGTTTATCTACTAGGAATTGCGAAACTTCCAGTTCCTTAGTTACCTAAATGGACAACTTTACCCGCAATTAATCGACTTCGTATCTCCGAGATTCTGATGGTAAGAGTCGAATTTGAAATACTTAATATAGACAAACACAACATCCATGTCTTGAAATGTAACTTCCGAGGCTGGGATTCGAACCCGTAAGCCTTCGAGCAGATGTGCTAGCTGCTAAATAATTTTGTCAGCACATTTACTAATGATGGTGTCCATGGAAAATATATTTTGCAATCTATATGAACATGACTCAACAACGACATTTTAGGAAAGGCTTATCTTCAGGCTAAATTAATATACACATGTTTGACATCAACAAAGTGACTCATTTTTGAGAAAAATAGCCATACTTCAGTACTGTTGTATCAGTTTGGGTACCGGATCCAGTATATTGATTCCCCCATTTAGAAAATATAGCAATCTGATAATAGTGCCTATAAGAAAGTGTACTATTCATACTGTTTTCCTATTTTAGACTCTGTGCAACTTGGAATTTTTCAACGCTACAAAAGAGAACGTAATTATAGCTGGAAAACTAGCAGATGCGATGGAGTATACACGGTTGTCGCCAGCAGAGATTCTACAACGGGAGAAGGTAGGACAACTCAAATATTGAGGTTTATTAATATATACTAAGTGACATATAAATCCGAACACCCAGTTTAAATGGTTTTATTTTAATAAAAGTTGGTGAATGTATTTATCTTACTGTAAATAACAAGTGAAAAAATGTTCAGCCTTATCAGTTGGACATTCCGGTTTTTATACTGTTTTTTTTTTTAATTCACTAACGCTCTAAAAATGAATATTTCAGGCGCAGTAAAGAATCAACGGTGGCGGATTTTGGTTCTTGACATCCTTTACGATCGGTTACGATGCCTAGAGTACGGAGACCTGTACGATTTCGTCAACTTAGTGAGTTTGATAGGGGCCGTATAGTGGGACTTCGGGAAGCTGGACTTTGTTTTCGGGCAATTGCAGTTAGAGTGCAGAGTAATTTTAAAAATATTATTATCCTTGGTGATTTAAATGTAAATTTATTTGCCGATAATAGCTTACAACAATGCTTGGATATGTATGGTTTCAAGCAAATTATTGATGCTCCCACTAGAGTAACTAATAGTACAGCAACTCTTCTGGACCCTATTTTTATTAATACCCCAATTACTGTCACTAACTGGTTTACTTTAGATGCTAATTTGTTGTCCGATCATAAAATTGTTTGTTGTATCTTAAACATATCCCGTGTGAAACATGAACAAAAAATGATCACCTTCAGAGATTTCTCACACTTTGATGAGCAATCTTTCATTGATGACCTGGCTAGAGTAAATTTTATTGAAATTTGTTATATGAGGAATATTGATGATAAAGTTCAATTTTTCAGTAGCAAGTTAATTGACATGTTCAATCGTCACTCTCCTATAAGGACGGTACGCGTGATTAAGCCGAAAACGCCGTGCTTGTCATATCCGTTGAGACAGCTTCTGAAGCAAAAAACGAGAGCATATTATTTATACAAGATAGACAGAAGTCCAGCAAGATTGCAGGTTTTTAGGGAACTTAGAAACCTTGCACTATCGTACATTAGACATGAAAAAATGGCGTATCTTGCTCACTTGGAAAAAGGGCGTGATCAGAAAAAATTGTGGTATGAATTGAAAAATATGAAAGCACAAACATCTGATCAGCCACGTATTCCAAACCATCTTGCAGACTCGTTCCTTGCAAATAATTATTTCATATCAGTTTTTGATTCCACAAATGCTCCTGATCACGTTTTAAGGTATTATAACGAAAATGTTCCCCATATTAATAAATTTTCTTTCAGGCTTCTAGAGCCTCATGAAGTAGCTGAAATAATTTCTAGTTTTAAGTCCGATGCAAAAGGTACTGATGGGTTGAGCTTGTCTATGATTAAGCTCAGTCTGCCTGTTACTCTCATCACCCACCTTGTTAATAGTTGCCTTGAAAGAGGTTATTTCCCTGAAACGTGGAAGCGAGCAATTGTGGTACCAGTTCCAAAAAAATCAAATCCAGATGAGTTTGCTGATCTAAGGCCTATAAGCCTGTTGCCTTGTTTATCGAAGGTAGTTGAAAAGGCAGCCCACATACAACTAATGCATTATGCAGAGGAACATATCATCCCATCTGATCAGTCTGCTTTTAGGAAATCTTTCAGTACTACTACTTCCCTCTTAAACTTAGTGGATAATATTATTAGAGCACTTGATAAAAAAATGGGCGTAGCAGTGATGTCAATCGATTATTCCAAGGCATTTGACAAAATAAATCATGAGTTGTTAATAGCAAAGTTGAAGTATTATGGCATAGATCCAATTGCATTGAATTTTTTTCGAAATTATATATCAAATCGATCGCAGTGTGTATCAATTGAAAACAATAAATTTAGTTTTCTAGAAATCTCGTCTGGAGTACCCCAGGGGTCTGTTTTGGGTCCTTTGTTGTTTTTGATATATATTGCTGATCTGCCTAAGGCTGTGAGTTTTTGTGAACTCCAGTCTTTTGCGGATGATACTCAACTGGTCCATTATTTTGATACTGATGATATGGAAATGGCACAGACATCAATAAACCATGATATTCAAAAAGTGTATGACTTCTCGAATAACCACAACCTGTCAATAAATCCTGGTAAATCCAGCCTGTTATTTTTTTGTTCGGATCGTAGGAGAGAAGAAATTAAAAGTCGATTAACTATTAAAATTGGATCTCAAAGACTGTACTCGGTTGACGAGGTTAAAATTCTTGGCGTGGTAATCGATTTCAAACTTAGATTCACCAGTCATGTTAAAAATCTTTTGAAGAAAACCTACTTGAGTCTGAGATCATTATATGCCAATAAAGGAATTTTCAATTATAAGCTAAGGAAAAAACTGTGTTCATCTTTGGTTATGCCGATTTTCAACTACTGTGATATTTTATATTATCCGTGTCTCAATGTTGTTACTAGAAATCGGATTCAAATTGTGCAAAACAATTGTGCTTGGGTCATCTGCGGTTTAATATTGTCAAATATCATTACCTTGTTTTTATTCATAAACTAATACTTATGTCAAAACCTATATACTTAAGAGAAAAGCTGATCTTTAGGCGAAATATTCATCATAGACATATTAGATTTCCAGATTTGATAACTACACCTATTCACTCCACAACTTTATTCCAGCGTTCTTTCACGTACAGGGCTTCAGTGTTATACAATGCCTTGAGTCCTGAATTCAAAACCATGTCCTTAAATTGCTTCAAGAAAGCTGTCAAATCTCATATTTACTTGGATCCATAGTCTTAATTAGATTGCTATAGATATATTGTTAAATGATTCTTCACTTCCCTTGTGTACATGTAGCAAACCTTGGTGCAACATATACGTATGTAATGTGTGTATAAGTATGTATGTATGTACATGTGTATGTATATATGTATATTTTGTTTGATATCTGCTACTTAACAACTTGTTTTTTTTTGCATGGGTGGTTAAGTGTAAGAGTAGCATGTTGCTAAACTTCGCCACCATATGCAACTCTTGTTTCTGTATGAAGTACAGTTTAAATAAAGACGATTATTATTATTATTATTATTAAGTGTAGACACTGTGGTTAGGTGTTGTCAGGCATGGCTTCGAGAAGGCCGTACGCAAAGAGCAAGGGGCACTGGACGCCGCCGTAGAACAACAGACCGTGAAGATCGCCGCCTAAGATTATTGGCCTTAAGGGACCGTTTCTCCACTACCAGGTCAATTGCAAATGAATGGTTTGCAGAACACGGAAGACCTATTGGCATGCGAAGTGTTTACCGACGAATGAGAAGTTTTGGCTTGTTTTCATACCGGCCACACTGGGTCCTCCCTTTAACTCGAGAACACCGACGTAATCGCCTTGAGTGGTGCAGACAACGGTCACTCTGGAATCAGGAATGGAACAGTATTGTCTTTAGTGACGAGTCTCGATTTTGTTTAGGCATGCACGATGGTCGTGCCAGGGTTAGAAGGCGACGTGGTGAAAGGAGGAATCCACAGTTTTTTGTTGAAAGACATGTTCATCACATTGTTGGAGTTATGGTTTGGGGTGCTATAGCTTATGATTCCAGGTCACCTTTAATCTTCATCAGAGGTAACATGAACGCGCAGCGTTATATCCACGAAATTCTAGAACCCCATCTTTTACCCTATCTTGACACCCTGGCGGATCCAACTTTCCAACAAGATAATGCCCGACCACATGTTGCAAGAGTCACAATAGACTTCTTTCAACATAATGATGTCACATTGTTACCATGGCCACCAAGATCTCCCGACTTATCCCCAATTGAGCACGTGTGGGATATGATGGGTAGGAGATTGCTCAATTTGAAACGTCCTCCTCAGACTCTAGAAGCACTGCAAGAGGAGTTGGTGGTTGCCTGGAGTGAGATACCACAGGAGGACATTGACCACCTGATCCGAAGCATGCCTAGGCGCGTTGGAGAATGCGTAGCACATCACCGTGCATCCAAACATTATTAAAGGTCAAATGGCTTTAAAGCAGTGCAATTAATTTGAAATTTTTATCATTTACTTATTATGCTTCATTAAGTACTTATACAAAATTTTATTAAAATAAAACCATTTAAACTGGGTGTTCGGATTTATATGTCACTTAGTATATAAATATTTGGATAGTAGGTCATCAATGTTCACCTGTGAATTTCACAAAATTGTATAAAACAGTAATTGGACATGGTATCGTCACTTGTATCGGTACGATGTGTCAGTGTCTTTGACAACTTCATTTTTGCATTAGTCACATTTTGAAAAGCTATATGTAACATATATTCTACAATACCGTGGATTTACTAATTCTACTTGAAGATAACTAATATACTACTATAATCCCGAGTCCAAAAAATTAACCGAGATGATAGTATGAGATGCCGTAGCATCTCTGCATTAATTAGAAATCTACTTTGAAAAGGTTAGTGTCTCATAGATGACGCATACAACGCCACAGCGCTATGTATGAGACACCATAATTTTCAAAGTAGATTTCTAATTAGTATTAAGAGGAGAAGCACAGCAGCTACAAATTCTCATAGATGATGCTACGGTACCTCATATCACCTAGGATAATTTATAAAGATGTAATATAGCATTGTGCTGGCTATCTTCAGGTAGAGTACGGCTATAAATTGAACCCCTCTAACTTTTCATAGAACGATCTAGAAGAAAAAGTTGTATATAAAAGTTATAAGGTCTAATATGAAGTTTTTCATGTAATATCTTGTCTCAGAAGAAAAGAATTAGCGCATAAAGTTGTAAGTTTTTTTAAATGGAACGGAATATATTTTCATCGAAAATGGCAGTTCCTTTTTCTCTAATCCAAAACGCCCCACCGCGGATTTATCGAAAATCACCGATTAAGAGAAAAAACGCGGAGACACGTCAAAAGATTTGTCAAGGGGGACAACTTTTTAACCGAAAACTACTTCACCCCCTTTCACCCTCGGCCCCCCAGGGTCATTCCCTTAAAAATTTTAAATGACAAGAGGTAAAGAGTAACACCTTGTTTCAAAGGTCTTTCAAAGTCGTTTATTTTGACGTTTGATGTTTTAAGATCAGTCGATTAGTTTTCGAGAGAATTATAAAAATCTTTATTTATCTTAATTTGTTCAGATAGAAAGCAAAAACACATGAAGATATCACTTTTTACTTCAATAAGTGTTCAAATTGTTGCTCGTTAGGGTTTGCTAAATCTTTAATTCGTTTATAATTTAAAACGGAAACTAGCATTTCGGAAAATTAGACGTGACAACAACCAAATAACAACCGGAAGTTTTTTCCGCATTTTAATAACACAGGTATCCTAGGCGAACTATTTTGTTACACGTCTTCCATTACGCAAAATTGATGCTGCGATTACATTAGGCTCTGTACACACAGTTACTAAGCTTCATAAATTTCATTATTTCAAAGTGAAAATATTGCGAGACATAACCGAAGATGATTTGGATACGCGAGTTGAATTTTGTAAACGAATGACTGCAGCGATTAATAATAATACCATTCATGTAAAGAATATCTGCCTCGGTGATAAATGCACATTTTATCTAAATGGATTTGTTAATAGGCATAAATTCAGGTACTGGAGCAATGAAAATCCTCAGGCTTTTGTAGAAGGGCATACCCAGTACCGCCAAAAAATAAATGAATGGGTAGGAAACGAAGTGATTGTTGGAAAGTGCCATCGATCCGCTTATCACTGAAACCATTGAAAACCAAATCGGAGAGGATGGCGACCCTATACTTGATGGCGCTGAAATATATTTCCAGCAAGACGGCGCTCCTCCTCATTATGTTCTTCCCGGTTCGGCAATGGCTAGACGACGAGTTTCGAGATAAATGTATAGGGCTAAGGGGGCCTATAGAATGGCCTGCTAGATCTCCTGATTTGACGCCGTTAGACTTTTTTCTATGGGACTATATTTGTTTAATCCTCAAACTAAAAGTCCCTCAATCCCTCAACATCTTTGAAAATATCAGTCATGAATTTGAACATCACCTATATTATTGTTTGGATAATAACGGCTTACAAACCCTAACGGGCAACATTTTATATCTGAACAAATTAAGATAAAGATTTTTCTAATTTTCTTGAAAACGAATCTACCGATTTTAAATAATCAAACGTTAAAATAGAGGACTTCGAAAGACCTTCCAAACAAGTCATCTCTGGATACCCCTTCTCATTTAAAATTTTTAAGGGGATCGAGGGGGGCAGAGTGTAAAAGGGGGTGATGAAGTTGACCCCCTTGACAAATCTTTTGACGTGTCTCGGCGTTTTGTCTTTTAATCAGTGCTTTCCGATAAATCCGTAGAGTCAGGTTTTCCAATGAATATAATTTATCAAACTGATGTTTAATACTTTAGTCAAAAACCTGAAGATTGTTGAAGTGAACAGTAGGTTACGCATTACTAGTGTGACAAAGCCACATTAGATCATTTTGAATTGCTAGTATCGTAGTATCGCCCCCTGTAAACTCTCCCAGACTTTCACTATACGCGTACTTAACTATGATTAAGGTTAGAGCGATAGCGAAGCGTTATCGAAACACCACTGAAATTTGCAATACGGAATAGTATATTACGTATAATCTATGTTTACAGGATGAATGCATGGAGTTACTAGAAATAATCAGCGAGAAGATCAACTCGAGAAACCCAGACTTCATTTCACACCTGCTTCTTTCCATATTCAAGATGGCGGAGGTGGAGATCGTCCAACCAGAGCCAGCCTCCGCTGCCTCTGGCCAACTTTCAAATATTTTTCTGATAGTAACAATGGCAGTACTAACTGTACTGAATCGATTAAACACTAATTTTTGCATATCGTGACAACGAGACTGAACTTATACATATTGAGTAAATAATACATATCAATTAAAGACTAAGTTAGAAATGGACGCAGCAAAATGCTGGCGTTAAAGAGTTCTTTTCGCAACTGTCCAATATAAGCGAACTATATTTTTAGTTAAATTGCATTCAATGCGTAGTTTAAAAAGGGATAAATGGCAGAGTAGCCATAAGCTAAACTTCGCCCTAAATAAAAATATAAATTATCTTTGTCGTTCTGTGTCAATGATGTTAAACATCGTTTTTTCTCAAAATCCCTCTCTGTGCACTCGCCAAAAGCTTCTTGTGTCCGGTTAAACTTGGTAACGTACAAAAAATAAATTTCATCTGTGTTACGCAACCTTCCATCTACTAACATCACTAAGACGTTTGTGAGTTTGACTAAACCATTGGGTTTGATCTACTGTATCTTTTCAATGAATTTTTAGTGATGCAAATTCTATACATGCTTAATCTGATAAAGACTAAAACGCTAACATTTTCTTTTTATCTTCCGTTTATTTGGATTTCAATGAAATTATTAAAAATGGTATGGTTTTAAGAAACTGGAAGGAACATTTGAGAGTAAGTGAAAGGTGCAACATTGCTGATGGCAGCTAAACACATTTCGTATTATCCGTCATATCTAAACCGATGTATGTACATATCTTGCATTTAAATGATGTACAGCTAATGTATCAAATAGAGCGTCGCTCGTGCTAAAAATAACGCTTGTTATAACCAGTAAACGGGGCAATTACTTAAATGTGCTCTAAACACGCTTCTGAGCAAATGAAGCATTCTTTCGTTGGTGACTTAATCGAATAAACAAGTGACAAGCTGCCATTATGAGGCATCATACAAAAATAATTTTTGACGCAGCTGATGTCTTGTATGATATAATATATAGTTTTACATAAAATATAGTAGAGAGCCAAAAACGAAACGCATTGCATTGTGCCACCTTGTAGAAGAGAAGAAGTGTCAATGTTAATGTGAAATTCATTACGAAATCACACCGCAAATAAAAAGTTATGGAAAAATTAAAACGATTTTACAAAATATCCACATCTTTCGGGACTAGTGCAAAATTGTTTAAGTGTCTTTCTTTACCCACCTAAATCCGCAACTTTGTCCCCATTTAACCGACTTCCTATCCCTCAACTTTCGTGTGATCCCATTGGCGAGGGTCGAAATTGGAACACCCGAATTGACATACATTAACATATCATGGGCATCTCATGGAACCTGGGATCCTGGTCTATGAATAGATAATTATATGTAAAGTCTCTTTTGATTAGAATATATATATATATATATATAACGAAAAGAAAATTAATGGGCAAAATTCGCAATAAGAAGGAAACTGGATTCGAGCAGAAAATAGGATAGGTAACCCGAGCGATACGCATTTCTGCTTGTTGGCTTCATCAGGCCCAAAATAAAATCACATATTCAACTACAAAAGTAGATACACATGTCCATACATCCGGATGCGGGTGCAACTTGAGAAAACGAAGGTAGAGAGGGAAAAAATGACACACGAAATCCACAACAAGAACCAACCTACACATTTTAGTACAAAATGGCTAGAAAACCTCGAATTCTCAAGGCGGCATCTAACTACAGCCGCAGCCGGTTATAACCACTTGCTGTGGTACTTAAGTCCCAAAGGATCTACAAAGAGGAAATAAAAGATATATAACGAATAGAAAATGAATGGACAAAATCCGCAAAAAAAGCTTTACAGACCGAGAAAAAAGAAGCCCCTTTGAATGTGGATTTGATCCAAAAACTTGAGCTCGTTTAGCATTTTCTTTACACTTTTTAAATTGTACCATCTATGTAATTATTCTTTAATTCTTTTAACGGATTTTGCCCATTAATTTTCTATTCATTATATACCTTTCTCCGCATGATCATTTTCTCTTTGTAGATCCTTTGGGCCTTTGGGCTTGAAATACCACAGCAAGTGGCTATAACCGGCCGCATGGGTGTGGTTAGATAACGTCTTGAAAAATCAAGGTTTTCTAGCCATTTTATACTACAATGTGTAGGTTGGCTCTTGTTGTGGACTTCGTGTCTCATTTCTGTCCCCCTCCATTTTCGTTTCCTCAGGTTACACCCGTATTCGGATGTATGGGCATGTGTATCTACTTTTGTAGTTGCATATGTGCTATTGTTTTGGCCCTGATAAAGCCAACAAGCAGAAATACTTATCGCTCGGGCTACCTATCCTATTTTCTGCTCGAATCCACTTTCCTTTTTTTGCGGATTTTGCTCATAATTTTATATCCGTTATATACATTTCCCCGCGTGATCATTTTCTCTTTATATATATATATATATACATATATCGTCATGTAAAGTATTTATGAGAAATGTATAAAAGTGTATAGCTTCTAGGCATTTTCTACGTCCATTTCTGCTAGTTGTAGAAACACTGTGTACATATCATTGTTGACAATTATTGTTACTGTTAAGAATAGACTAAATTAGTCACAGACTGTCATTTTTTAAGGCATTGCTCAGATCTTTAGGTGAAACTGAAATTTATTATCCGTTCAGGATGAAAACTATTTGTACTTTTATTACTACCTGTTTTTACCCGGTAGTATAGTGTACTATAATTTTGTAACTGCTTTTAAACTAGATATCAAAGTTTAGATCAGGAGATGTCTTCCCAAAATGTAAGTTATTGACATATGGGACTTGCTTTCCAACTAGTTCTTAGATCACCTTTTAATTGTATAACAGTACTGCTTGCTGGTTTAAATTATTACTGATCTGTAGCAGACTGCAATAAAGACATGATATGGAGAGGATTCTTCGTCGACCTACAGTATTATTTAAAAAAAAATAAGGTGCAAAATGTTTTATTATATTCTTAGCATTCAACGCACAAAATAAAAATGCACATAAAAAGAGAAAACCATTATCTACCCAAGTTCCAACCGAAGGTGAATTTTTTCACAATGAATACTATAGCTTTATAAAAGTTTTGACAACAAACACTTATGGATCTGTACCCTTTGACTTATACGTTTAGCACAAACTTTTGAAAACAAAAATGTGTTCAATGTTATGATCGCAAAGTGTGTAGCAATAAAGTGAAAAGCGAAACGAGTCATCGTCCGTGTTTTACTGTGGAACTTGGTACTGTAGCGTTTTTCTGGGTTCTTTTTGGGTGTGGATTAAAACACTGGATTACACAAAATGAAATGCACTGATTTATTTAACTTGATAAAACATTTTTATGCATCACTATTTACGTCTGACTAATTCTTATGTCACCATTGACTGCACTATACTTCTCTTCGCTCTGCTACTCTACTGTACTCTGCCTCCATATCCCGGCTGCCGAGTTATATATAGTCGCCATTTACCCCTTCGAGAAAAACCGGGTGTACCACAGAGCGCTATCTAGAATGTTGGAGATCACTTCGCATCGATCTAGAAGGCGATCCACTGTCACGGTCCTCACAGACTCCGCCGGGCGTCTCGTGCGGCAGTGGTTCGCGTAAAAGCAGAGATCGGCAAATAAGCTCTAGACTCGCCCAATAGATGGCGCTATTTGTCACAGTACGATGAACTGATCAAATTTACTGGGGTCTTGATTATATTATGATTGATGAAGTTAAAATTGTTCCCAACTGCATTATGATAGTATTGTCATCCAGCTTCCATCAAAATGGATACAGTAGTGATTGGAATTAACAGCAACGCCACCTGAAATATATACCTTTTGCGTCTACACATACCTTAAGATAAGTCCTGATTAAACTCAATTGCATAACAAATTTGGTAGGTGATCTGAAGAGTTTGGAGCATTTAATTGGATTGCTAAAGTAAATAATAATGTCAGCAAAACATCCCTGATTAGATAATTTAGAACATTAGGATAAAAATGTGAATGCAAGTCCCAATTATACTTACAAAACACCCTGCTTTCAATACAGCAAAGTGTCAAGGCTTACGTGTAACAAATACATATCATTATAGCTTTAATATTAAAAAATTAAAACACACACATCATAAACACTTAGTGGGTCGTGTGTATTCATTAAAAGATGAGCTTACGTTATATGAAGCACATGCACGAAAGTTAGAAATGTTTAGAATGTTTAATTCGAGTTAACACCTCCTAGATAATTTTAGATGCTTTTTGTTCTTATCTTTGTAGCTTATTTCCAATTTTATGATCGTCTATGATGCTAAAGTCTGCCATGAAAATTATTGGAAACTTGGAATAACCGAATGAACGATTGTAGAAATGTTTCTGTACATAAGTTTTTCAGTTTCTGCTGGCAAGTAATTTCATAACCCATACCGTTCCATTTTTATGATATATGTTACAAAAAATTATATAAGACAGTCCGCTGAAAGGAAGCATAAATGTAGAAAATTATAAGATAAAAATTTATATAAATTGTATAGTTCCACAAAATAAAAATCAATATAGGAGCTTGAAATTTTCAATGCTATATAGCTGTTTGTAGTACTGCTTTTAGAATGACAATAAAATAGCTCATATTAAGGGATATATTTGTTACATAGAATTAGGCTCAAAATCGTTGAAACTGAAAAAATCGCAAAAGAATTAGTTACTCTCTACAAATCATATCGCTGGCAGTTGAACATCAGTCTCTTTACGGAAGGCCCACATGGAATAATAGTACAGATCTACTTTTGGAAATAATAATATTCCTAGTTGATCAAATAATGAACGAGTATGAATTCATCTCAGGAAAATACTTGCTAGCATAAGCAAGCATTAAGCACAGTTCCACTCTCGATAAACACATCCTGTTTTTCTTTCATGATAGATTTTTACAACAAACAATGAACAGAAGACAAATGAAATCAAAAAGTTAACAGGTTTTAACATCCCATGGATTAAACAAATTGCTAAAAAGAGTAACAGACTCTCATTATCAGTAATTTTAATTTCTCTTCAGAATAATGCAACAAAAGTCTTTGTAATTCATTATCTTCCAAATTTCCATAACTCAAATATCCTCATGAATCCAGGTAACTGATAAGTTTAAGATGAACTCATGCCCCCTTCCAGCCCACATTTGGTTTTGTAATACGCTTCCTCCAAAATGTAATCCGTTAATAAACTATTGTTTCAGAATAAATTAATCATCCGATACAAAACACAAATATGGTACTTTCGTTATTTTCTCTCTCTTTGGTAATAGTATGCTTATGAGACATTTTGCGAGTAACTGGAGATTTTGTCAATAGGAATCATTTTCATATTACTATATATTGAACTTTGGAAAATAAATTATCTTATCTATCCTATCATAATTTAGATACACAGAAATACTGAAATTTGAAATTCACTACAACTACAGCACGGTTGCCTGAGTAAGCAATTGTGTCCTATGTTCAACGTACTTTGTAAAGATTCTATCGTGAATTACATAAACCACTATATTTTACGATGCTTGTACTTCCACTGCTAAACGCCTCAATAGAGATACTTGTATTTGTAAGTATACTGGACATAAATGGAACATAACGAAATATAAAATATAAGTAGCAGAAACATACATAGCTAATTAATGCATTATAAAATATGGCTGTTGATGAGTGTACAATACTTATTGTACATCAAGGATGTTTCTTATTTTTTCACAAAGACGTATGATTGTAAATACTAGGTTTATGTTTGTTTCGATTCAACAATAGGCTTATTGTCGGCATTTTGTTAATAAATTATGTATAGAAAAATTTGCTTTATTTCCAGTTTGTGTTTTTTTGGCGGTTAAACAAATTTCTCTTAAATACGTGAGCAATTGGGCATAGACAAAATACCTTCATAGTTTTTGAACGTCGTTTGAATGGGGATGAAATGATGAGAAAAATGATTAATCCTTGGTTCCTATTATGACTAAAAGCACATTCGTAAAGAAAGGTGCACTAAGCCGAACTTTTCCCCTAAATTTCGAAATTAATTCGTGCTGTTGCTTTTTCTGCTATAGTGCTTTAATAATATCACCAACGTCTTTAGTTACAAGCTGAAATACTGCAAAAATGGGTCTGTCCGGCGTGAACTCAAACATTCTTATAATAAGTTTTTTGTGTCGCTAAAAACGACTAATAAAAAATCTCCACATCTGGGAGCTTGTATCTAGGAAAATCGGGTGCTTATATTCCGAATTCGATGTCAAATCAGTTATAGGTATCACTACCAACTTTTCAACCCCAATCTGGTCCGATGGCACTTTAGAATGTTTTTACTATGATACTTGTACAGGGTGATTCACAAATCGTGACCAAAAATGAAACATCATAAACAGGACCGCATTTTACGGGGGTCTTGCATGTAACTTTTTTCTCGAGGGCTTCATTAAGAAGAAAGTTTAAAAATAAAAAAAAAACAATTTCTTTCAATATCTTTAAAATCGTCAGCTGTAATGAACTTACAGTTGGTATGTGGATTTAACTAAGTATGGTCCTTATCTAAAAGTCTTTACTTAAAGTTAACGTGCACCGGTAGCGGAGATACAGGGGATTAGTGGCAACGTGCAACTATCGAATTTTACCTTCAATTTGCTACAAATAATTACTCTTGTGTTTTTTCCTAGAGTGCACTGTTTTCGTAAAAATAAAAACAAAACAAATTAGATTATTCATGAAGAGCCGAAATACTATAGAATTAGTGTCAAAATACAACAGGACTTGACTTGACATTTCTTGGGAGATAGTTTGTCAAAGTTATGTGTTTTACGGTTTTATCGTTACTACTAAAATTTTTTTTGTAAAAGTCAAGTCAATGGTTTCTTTTTCCATTTTTGAGTGTTGTGAAATAGAATTTAGCAATGATGAGTACGCCGATATTATTTTTGTGTACAGTTCTGTAATGGAAATGTTTTAGGAAAGGTTTTTACGCGTTCATTTCTAAGGCCCGTATCGTCAGTCGACCCTACAATTGCAGGGCGTGTTTATGGCCTCCTTGATTGTCATACTCCTTTCTCTCCTTCAAAAATTTCTAGATTACACTTGTCCCGTGTCAGCGTTAGCGCTCTCCTATTGTGAAGATTTGTTTTCCTTTTAAATTGTAGGAAATTTCAGACTGATAAAACATGATATAACTCAAAACCAAGCACAATTTGATGCAAATTGATGTTTGTGACATAACCTCAAAATAGAGCGCTGACACGGAGAAGTAGAAAACTATGACAATCAAGGAGGCCATAAAGGCACCCTACAATTGTAGGGACGACTGACGATACGGGCCTAAGACTTCGGCAATATGGAATTGCCAGACTTCCCGAGTTAGAGGCGATGGTATCCGGCATACTGTTCAAGAGTAACTGGAAGTGATTAATTTGGCGTTGGATGATCCTAGTACATGTACTAGACGGACTGCAGCCCAGTTACCAGGTTCTCAAAGTCTTGCGTGGAGAATTTTAGATCGGGAAGTTCTACATCCTTGCCATCGGCAAAATGTGCAGTGTCTGCAAGCCGACGACGAAGTGCAACGACAAATTTTTTGTGAGTGGGTACTGCAAATGCATAATCAAAATGCAGAGTTTATTGATTTGGTTTTGTGGTCAGATGAATCGCTGTTTACGAGGAGTGGAACCTTTAATTCACATAATGTACATATTTGGTTGTTAAAAAATACCCGTTCTGTAAGAATCCACCCGTTTCATCACAGATTTTCTAGAAATGTCTGGTGCAGCATTTTCAATGACAATGGAGTTAAAAGTTTCTTATCAGTTTCACCCAAAATGAAGGTCCAATAATCCTTCAAAAGTGTTTTTCTATTATGCTCATATTCAGCGCAGAGTTCCGCTTACATGTAGCCATCGATAATAGCAATGGATTTTTTGCACCCTAAAGTCGCCAAAAACATATAGTCTTGCAATTTTCCGCTAAGTAATTAGATCTAAATATTTAGCGGGATTAGATACATGTGAAATGATATCCGATTTGACTTTAGCGACTAAAAATATGTAGTACGATAGAAGTCATTTGAACCACATTTTTAGCATTTTAATTTTTATTTACCATGTACGAGTATGTATAGTTCCAAAACTGAAAAAAATTGGTCAGTCGGGAACGTGAGTGCAACAACGTTTTTTTTTGGTCGCTGCAACCGAATCTGGGGCCCATTCGATCCGAAAATGCAAAGACCACTCGTAATAAAAAGTATTCCGACAACTCTCCCGGCGTCTATGCGGTAGAACGTTAATGACACTTTTATAAATTCCCAGTTTTCGATTTGTGTTGACAGGGTTGCCGACCATGCAGTTTTAACTGTAGATTTACATTTCCTCAAAAATCTTTCATGTTTTCAGTTCAGGCCTCCAATTCTACAGATTTTTGTTTAAGATGCTCGCGCCATTTGTTTTGTTCACTGCGAAGTAGGAAGTCCATACAATAACTTGGTTTTAGTAAAATCTACCACCTGCCAGATCGTATTATACGTAAAATCTTCTTTGAGTCAAATTCTTTTGGCAGCGGTTCTGGTTCTGGTTCTGGTTTACCTTAAGCGACATGAAAATGACAGAATTCAATTCAAATTTTGTCATTTTTATGTCACTCAAAGTCAACCAGAATCAGAACCACTGCGAAAAGAACTTGATTTAAGTTAAGGCAGAAGTGTGCTATTCGTAAGCATTATACTATTTTTCACAAGTGTCTATCGCAGAACAATGTCAAAAAATGGACAGCTGATCATGGATGCAAAAAGCAAATTCTTTTTGAACGATTGTGGTTTGAAAAATTTGAATATAAATCTTTTTTATGTCACTAAAGGCCAACCAGAGCCACAACCGCTCAAAAAGAGTTTGCTTAAGCAATGCAAAACTGTTACTTTTTGACCTTGGTCCTAGATATATACTCGTGAAAAATACTGTAAATAATGCAAGGCTGTATATTGACAGTTTTTTAATAATACTTTACAGTTATCTACAGTTTTTTTCAAGCTCATATATAGTCATTCTCTTGGACGGGGTTGGAAACGCTGGTGGTCAGTGACCTGTCGGTGACTGTGTCTGGGATCAGGCCATGTGAATTTAGTCTATACAGCGTAGCAGAATGAGCGGATTTTGTGCGACGGGATTCTGGACACGGTCATTGACAGGTCACGAGACCTGTGCGGATAGGGCTTTATTAGGATAAAATATTTTTTGCCTATTTCTTTTAAGGAAAAAAACAAAATTTTACTATATAAATATATTTAATATCTATGTGATCTAAAATTACATGATCATTAATAGGAGAACTATGAGTTCCATTTTTTCTACTATTTATTAGGGGAATATCGTTTTTTGGTGACTGCATTCGCACTTGGGCGAGAGAAACCCCTAGCAAACCTCAACCGTCACTGCTAAGATTAATTGTAGCAGGTGAAGAAAAATCAAGTCGTTTCACAATTCTGGGTTCGTTTGTGCAATCGAAAATCTATAACTCGCCAGCATACCACAGTTATTAACCTAAAAAAAAAGTAGCACTGAAGTAACGGTTTATACGAGGGTCATTTCTTAAGTAAGAACCATTTTGTAATTGAGTTACGTAAATGTTATTTATGAATATAGATTGTGTCACAAACTAAAATATGAACATTCTTAAATGTTTTTTTTTTGATGGCCCAGGATCGCGTGGTGGTAGGCATTCCCTCTCCGAAAAGGGACGTCCAGTCCTGCAAAACGACAAGCGAGCATAAGTTTTTTGTCATTTTTTTCAGCTCCAGATACTTCCAAAAGAACGCGAAAACACACCCAAAATCTTCGACTAAAGTGTTGCATCCTCAAAATCAGCGCTAAGCGAACATGTATGGTAAATAGGACACTGGATAAAACAGGCGGAGAGTCTTCACAAAGACAATGATAATTTATTACAAAAAGATATATAAATTTAACAATAATTGTCTTTCTAGTTCTTCTGTGACTCATTATGTTTGAATATCCATGAAGAAAAGATCTAATTGATATTCTCCAACCAAACTAATGGATCATGAGTTTTTTATAGAGGCACAGTGAGAGGCTGGGCAAGAGTGTCTGAGATTAAACGGTCAGGCTACAGGATGCGCAATTGGTTCTTACTTTAAAAACGCCCCTTGTTGTTCACTGACATCTGTCTGATCAGTTGATTAGAAAAATAAGATTAAGTAAAAGCTTTCTTCTATGCTGAATTCTGCAATAGGATTCAAAGTTATATTTCCTGATAAGATTGACGTATCGGGTAAGACGTCAGTGAAACATGAAGAATAAATAAGTTTAAGATTATGTGAAAAATACCTGTTAGTTATTTCGATTATCAATTCAATTGATCTTCATATCGCTTTTGGTCTCATTGAGTTAGTTTCCCAAATATGTCCCTTAACTTCTTCAAAAGCTGTATGAAAAACATGAACATTTTTTGAATCTTTTGCTTGGAATCTGACTAAAACAATATTTTGAAACATCAAATAGGTTGACTTTGTATTTATTTATTTAAGTATAGTTTGAGTGGAAGGCTTTTGGTCTTCTTAGGGTAAGTTTACAAAATACATCTCTGGGAACGTTTCTAAGATCCTTAACATTTCTATCTATACTTCTGTGGTTCGTGAAGCTCAAAACCAACCTTCTTGATGCCATACTCTCTAATGCTTACCCTGTAAAAATTTTGAGGTTCGCTTGATTGCTGTTTTCATGTATTACATCATACTATAAATCGAGACTTCAGTCCTGCGTAATATATTTCCATTCAACCTCTATCTTTACTCGTGTATGCCCAATAAAATCCAGCTATCCAGGCAGAACATTTTCATTAATATCCATTATCTCACGTTTATCACGCTCGGAAGTGTCTATAACGTATGCCATTCCTGAAATTGGGGGTGTCCCCTCTCCAAACCTTGATAACGGTAAAAATAATTGAACTATGATTCTGAAAGAAAACCTGAAAGTTTTTGAACAGCAGTTCAGTAAAGTACGTAAAAATAAGAAATGTGCAATCACATCTTAGCTAAAAATAGATATGTTCGTAAAATATGTACCTAATAGAAATAGTAATTAAAAATGTAACCTGGAATTAAAATTATAATAAATATATCATTATCTTCAATATCTATCATTGTTAATCACCATTCCTGAAATACGGAATGTTCTCATTCTCACCTAAAAGCTGAAACAAACTAAGAAAAACACTTGCACTATGATTTTAAAGCATAAATAGTCATAGACAGCAGACCTATGAAAAACGTAGAAATAAGAATTGTCGAAACCCATTTTGCTTGTAAAAATCTTCACAATAAATAAAGGTGTTTTGTCCAGATGTCGATAGTAAAATAGAAATAGTGAATACCAAATATAATTTAAAAAAAAATAATAATAAATATAGTTTTGGAGACCATCGCCGGGTCACAGCTTGCCTCATACCTGTAATAATCCACTACTAGCCCTACTATCACTAACTATTACCAGAACTACTACTACTGCTACTACTACCACTACTACCTTCTTATCTGGTTACTTAGCATCGACGGACAAATGAATCCTGAACTTTTCACATATCTCATTCCTCAGGAACACTGGACGATTTTATGTCAACCACGTGTCTTGCAAGACATCTCTCCGAAAATGATTAACCATACGAAAATGCCTCTTCATTATTTCAATAATCAATTCAATTGATATTCATTCTGCATGTACCAGCCTGCAATCATCTTCAAGGTTGTAAAAAGAAGTATAATTTTTGGCCTCAGAATCTTAGCTTCCCAAATATGTCCCTGAATTTCGTCAAAAGCTGTATGAAGATCGTGAATAGTTTTAGAAGCTTTTGCTACTTGTCTGTAAATATTTCGTAAAGCTTCATCAATATATTGACAGTAGAACATATAACCAACATCCACATTTTTATCTACAAATAGAGTTCACATAAATACTACCATTTAAACAATACCTCGGCTCATTTTGAAACATCAAGTAGGTTGGACTCTTTATTTCATGGATAATAGCATAAATATGAGTATAGTTTGAGTGGAAATGTTTAAGTCTCCTTAAGGTCAGTTTTGAGGATACAACTTTTGGGAACGATTCCAGGATCCTCAAGCTATCTATACTTGAGTGGTTCGGGAAATTCAAAACCAACCTTCTTGATGCCATACTCTTCAATGCTTACCCTGTGAAAATTTTGATGTTTACTTCATTGCTCTTTTCATGTATGTACGTATATAGCATACTATGAATTTGGACTTCAATCATTCTTAACATTTTTCTATTGTTCCTATTCAACCTCTAGCTTTATTCATCAACATTCATCCAGCTATCCAGGCAGAACATTTTTTGAAACAGCTGCCTATACCATCGATATTAATTATATCACGTTTATCACCTCCTCCCTTCACAGCTTGATAAAAATATTTGGGTTATGATTCTGAAAGAAATCCTAAACATTTTCGGACAGCAGTTCTGTAAAATATGTTAAAATAAGAAATGTGCAATCACATCTTAGCTAAAAATAGATGTCCGTAAAATATGTACCTAATAGAAATAGTAAATACCAAATGTAATTTAAAATTATAACATATGATTATCATCAATAGTCTCACTTAAAAGCTGAAAAAAGCTAAGAAAAACACCTGCGCTACGATTTTAAGGCATAAATAATACTTAGCAGTATTCTTTTAAATTGTGGATCCCTGCTTAACAGCTCGGCCATGGACCCAGGGGAATTCCTTCCTTAACTTTCCCTTCTGCAAGGGCATGATAAACAGTTGTCTGTGGCCTCGACATGCCCCCACATCGCAGAGTGCCCAATCAAAGTTCCCTAACATTTCTCTAGCTACTCGTTACTCCCGACCACTTAATTGGAGTTTTCTGACGTAAACCCTTTTCTTGAAGCTTATGTATTATATAACAATTACGATTCTCTCTACTTTTAAAGTTTGGAATTGTTTTGTTATTTTTCCTAATTTTTCAACTCAACCGACGCTTTTTCCTAGTGATCCCTAACTATCTAAATGGGGCACTCTGTCTGGGAGATGGTCAGTACGATGAGTCGTCCGACACATTCGTCAACCATGCTCGCTCTTCGCATTGGGCAAAATTAGTCAGTAGCGACAAGCGAGATAGATCGATGAAGTCGATCGATCTTACAAGTCAAGATCCGGCTCCCCAAAGTCTTCTTCCAACCCCGAAAAAGACAATGGTTCTACAGACCAAAAAAGCCCTCCGCCCTTTCATCGCTTGTTGTGTCCAGCTATCCTAAGGTAGTGTAGAAACCGAAGGAACATTGAAGACGCCCCTTCCAATTCTATCCTGTCGCTCATGGACCCAAATTTTCTCGGAGCTATGTGCAATGCCCCGATAAATTCAAGACATAATCGACAGCCTACCGAGGATAAAGGGGCTAGTCAACCTCTTTCGCCAAATGTCTCAATTCACACTAACAAACCGGTTGAATAAGGGACTTGTACCTCATTCAACCAGTAGGTTCGACAATCTCACAGCTCTCTCTCGTTTCGGCTGTAAACCCTACACCAATACGAAAACCCTAAGTGCACTTACATTTCAGCAAACTGGTCTAGTCCCTGGAACAAGTAGAAACAGCATGAGTCTACAAGTACTACGTTATTAAATGTCTCACTCTCACACTTCGGGTACTAGTAAAATGACTGAGAGTTCAAAATGTTGGAAAATAAACTCAATACAACGAAAAAACAGTAGACAAATTTTCGTCACCCTAATATTACAAGGTTGTATGTGACATTTTTAACTTTTTCATTTTTTCGGCATTACGAAGTTCTATGGGTCAATTACTATATTTTAAACTTGGAATAAAACCTCTAGCTAACATAGAACTCCAGTTATCAACAGAAAATCAAGGGTGCATGTTGGGAAATATATCTTTTGTGTTAAACATAGAACTTTATAATAAATAAATTGAAACTCAAGAAAATATTACACCTTTCTATGTTGCAACATACAACCTTGTTATAATATTTTGAGGTTATGTTAGTTTGTTTACACAGGTAAAATAACGAGTCCAAGCAAAAGTGCTCTAGCTTTATTTTGATAAATTTTAAGTGATAGTGATATAAGTGATGGCCACGGATATGATCGAGATTCGTCAAGCTCTCACAGTTACTAGTAGAGACGAAATAATAGATTCTGAAGATAATATATCGAAGAAAACAAAACAGAAGTTGACACGAAAACGGATAAGGTGTTCTTCAGAATGGGAGTGTAACAAAAGAAAAGCAAGGTTTGATCAGGGTCTGGATTATATTTCTTCCAGAAAACAGAAGCGCCAGCCAAAGAAGTAAAAAATAAAAAAGATTTGTGTCCAAAAATGTCTTTATCAGTGCTCTCGTAAAATAAGCGCCGAGCAAAGGAATGCAATTTTTAAAAACTATTATCCTCTTTGTGTTGTTGAGAAGCGACATTTACTTTAAATAGCACTGAAGTTGACATTCCTTATAGAAGAAGAAAAGGAAAAAAACAAAATAATTCAAAAAAGGGAAGGACGTTTAGATATTATTTCACGTTAAGTGCACAGAAAATTCAAGTTTGCAAGGCGTTTTATATCGGGATATAATGTATCAGCCAAAAACTAATTTATACAGTGCATAAAAATAAAACTCCCACTAATACTTTACGCGAGAATACGCAAGGGAAGCATAAAAAGTGGGTAACCTGGCCCGCAGATACAGATTTTGTCAAGGATCATATTAATATGTTACTCCGGGTAGAATCGCATTACTGTCGTAAGACAAGCAATAAAGAGTATTTGGAAAGTGGATTAAATATAAAGAAGTTATATGAAATATATTTGGAATATGCAAGTGATAAAGAAAAGTCTCCGGTATCCTTTTGCATATACAGAAAAATATTTTGTGGTTGTTTTAACATAGCTTTTCACAAACCACGTAAAGACAGATGTGATACCTGCGAAGAAATTAAAGTGAAAAAAGAAGAGAATAAGATGGAAGAGGAGGGGGGAAAGAGTTTACATAAATCATTTAAACGAAAAAGAACATAAGAGAAAAGAAGAAGAAAAGGATAAGGAAAGTGAAAAGCCTCTATTATGTTTTGATCTTGAAAATGTTCTGACGTGTCCAAGGCAAAAAACTTTTTTATAAAAGTAAATTAAACGTTTAGAATATGACTCCTCACCTGTCTATTTCAAAACATGTTTACTGTGCAGTGTGGAAATGACAACTGGAAATGACATGGCCAGCGCTGTTTATAAAATATTACATAGGGTATTAGAAGACCATCCCGAATTTACCGAAATATTTTTGTGGAGTGATAGCTGCGTGCCACAAAACAGAAACAGTCACATGAGTTATGCCCTAACCCACCTAATTCATGCCCATAAAAATTTACAAAAAATCACAATGAAATTTTCAGTTCCGGGGCACTCTTGCATTCAAGAAGTAGATAGCTGCATAGAAAGATCGTTAAGCAAAGTATAATATAATAATAATAATAATAATAAATGCCTTTATTTCCAAACAGTTCTCAAAAAAAAATCAGAAAGAGAAACATGACTATTAACCAAAAAAAAGGAGAATATAAAAAAATAAATAAAACAAATTTCGACTGTCTGAAAACCACAAGGGGGAGTTCACTATCTAGTGCTCTTCCACTCAGCCCTTGAAATTGTAAGAAACATTATGCCAGTAAATACATCCATCAAGCATACACAAACATCAATATGAACAGCATGTAAGTTTTTAAAAAAAATAAGATAGAAAAGTGAGAAATGTGGTAATAAATTTGAAAATAAAAGAAAATCTAGAATGATATATAGATATATATACCCATACATACCGCATAAACAAACGCCAATATGAGCGACAATTAAGTTTGAAAAAAAGAGCAAAGAGAAAACGTGGTGGTAAATGCAAAAGTCTAGAATGATATACAAATACATATGTACATTTATGCATCATATGAAAAAAAAATATAAATAAAATAATGGAATGCAAACAAAATAAAATTGAAATTCCGCAGTAAGAATAATTCTACTTTATACATTCAAGGTAAGAATCACGCAAAACCGCTTTGAACTTGTGAATTTCATATGATTTGAGGTACTGGGGGATAGGATTGTATAGCTTATATATATATATATATTATACGTAAATGATCTTTCATAAAATTTAGTTCTGTGGAATGGAGCGGTAATGTTTTGTATCGAACGAATATTTACGGAATGGATGTCTTTTCTGAATGTTATTTTCTCGTAGAGGTAATAAGGCTGCCTAAGAGTTAAAATTTTATAATAAAACCATATTGTGAATATCTCAAAACGACCCTTATTCTCCAGTCTCACTTATTCGCTTTTTATTAAAATTAAACCGAAAGAAGCCTTATACAATACTTCAGATGAAGAAAGAGGACTTCATAGACTTTCAGTATTTTCGAAAGTCATATGTTTACAATTTTCAACAAGCTTTTTTGAGCTAAAATAAAAAGATTCCTTTAAGATGTAAGACGGTTCTAACCCATTAAAAATCGTAAGTCTGCACCAGCAAAAATTACAACACATTACAGCTGAAACTGGAAAGACGATACCCTTGGAACTCAAAAAATGTGACAACAGTATTGAACTGCCTTAAAAAAAGTAGATGCTATAAGATCGATGTACAAGTGGATTTCTGAGATGGATAGACAATACTACAAGTCTATTTTTAGGAACAAATAAAGTCTAACATGAAGTATCATTTTAAGTGCCAAAGTTCTATGTCACGTAGCTAAGGAAAATTGTTGACTTTTAGAGTACCAAAGTTACATGTTTTTTTAAATAAATAAATTTTTCAATACTGTTTTATTTATTAGAGAACTCTTAAATGGTCCACTATGAACACCACTTGTGAATTAAAACCATCCATATATTTAAAGTTTAAAACTGATGCAATTTTTTAAAATCGATTTATCTCAAAATAGGAACAATGCTAGATGCAACCTTGTAATATTAGGGTAACGAAATATCAACCAATTGTAGCGAACTGACCGCCTGAAAAATTGGCAAAATGCTCGGTATTAGTCTCTAATACATTATTTAAAGTTTCAAGCTTGTATCTTGTATAGCTTTCAAGAGTATTACAATTCAAATACCTTTTAATGATTCTTTGTGAATACGAAGTCATACATATTGTATAGACGACATTACTACCGACATTCAAGCTACGTACCTAATATTATTTAGGTCTTCAAAATCAAAAGGGTTAACAGAAATGAGGAAAGAAAGGATCAAGGTTATTATTTATAATAACACGTGATGCGTGCGGAAAAGTTATGTACGCTGGTAGAAAAAACATTTATTTATCCAAATTAAAAATAAAATATAATAGAAAAAAGGAGCTTTGTGGATTCGAACCTCCGTCCTGCGGTTCTACAATCGTTACTTTTTCCCATTACACTACGACGCCTCTTGGTTTACTGGATCTTTATATCACTATACTTGACACTGACAAATTTCAAGCGAACGTTGGAGGCATATCAAACCTGTTATAAACAAGTAGGATGATCTTGAAAACCATATAAGATACAATGCTGAAACTTTAAATTATGCATTAGGGACTAATACCGCGCATTCTGCCTAATTTTTCAGACGGTCACTTCGCTTCAACTGGCTGATATTTGTCTACTGTTTTTTTCGTTTTCTCGAGTTTATTTTCCAGGATTTTGAACTCCCAGTAGTTTTAATCATGCAAGATTTCGAAAACGGACGTATACTGTATTATACTAAGTGACATATAAATCCGAACACCCAGTTTAAATGGTTTTATTTTAATAAAAGTTGGTGAATGGATTTATCTTACTGTAAATAACAAGTGAAAAAATGTTCAGCCTTATCAGTTGGACATTTCGGTTTTTATACTGCTTTTTTTTAATTCACTAACGCTCTAAAAATGAATATTTCAGCCGCAGTAAAGAATCAACGTTGGCAGATTTTGGTTCTTGACATTCTTTACGATCGGTTACGATACCTAGAGTACGGAGACCTGTACGATTTCGTCAACTTAGTGAGTTTGATAGGGGCCGTATAGTGAGAGTTCGGGAAGCTGGACTTTCATTTCGGGCAATTGCAGTTAGAGTGCAAAGAAGTGTAGACACTGTGGTTAGGTGTTGTCAGGCATGGCTTCGAGAAGGCCGTACGCAAAGAGCAAGGGGCACTGGACGCCGCCGTAGAACAACAGACCGTGAAGATCGCCGCCTAAGATTATTGGCCTTAAGGGACCGTTTCTCCACTACCAGGTCCATTGCAAATGAATGGTTTGCAGAACACGGAAGACCTATTGGCATGCGAAGTGTTTACCGACGAATGAGAAGTTTTGGCTTGTTTTCATACCGGCCACACTGGGTCCTCCCTTTAACTCGAGAACACCGACGTAATCGCCTTGAGTAGTGCAGACAACGGTCACTCTGGGATCAGGAATGGAACAGTATTGTCTTTAGTGACGAGTCTCGATTTTGTTTAGGCATGCACGATGGTCGTGCCAGGGTTAGAAGGCGACGTGGTGAAAGGAGGAATCCACAGTTTTTTGTTGAAAGACATGTTCATCACACTGTTGGAGTTATGGTTTGGGGTGCTATAGCTTATGGTTCCAGGTCACCTTTAATCTTCATCAGAGGTAAAATGATCGCGCAGCGTTATATCCACGAAGTTCTAGAACCCCATCTTTACCCTATCTTGACACCCTGGCAGATCCAACTTTCCAACAAGATAATGCCCGACCACATGTTGCAAGAGTCACAATAGACTTCTTTCAACATGATGATGTCACATTGTTACCATGGCCACCAAGATCTCCCGACTTATCCCCAATTGAGCACGTGTGGGATATGATGGGTAGGAGATTGCTCAATTTGCAACGTCCTCCTCAGACTCTAAAAGCACTTCGAGAGGAGTTGGTGGTTGCCTGGAATGAGATACCACAGGAGGACTTTGACCACCTGATCAGAAGCATGCCTAGGCGCGTTGGAGAATGCGTAGTACATCAGGGTGCATCCACACATTATTAAAGGTCGAAGGGCTTTAAAGCAGTGCAACCATTTTGAAATTTTTATCATTTACTTATTATGCTTCATTAAGTACTTATACAAAATTTTATTAAAATAAAACCATTTAAACTGGGTGTTCGGATTTATATGTCACTTAGTATAATACTTTTCGAGAAAAAGGTCCAGCGAATTCTATTTCGTCGGAAAGAAACTGGATTACGTGACCTACTTATTTGACAGTGATGCAGTCATCAATAATGCAGCCGTTTAACACATGCCATATTAGCAAATTTCCCCGAAATAATTGTAAAATCTGGTTTTACTGGTGCAAGTTGATCAAGGGGGTATTTAAAACATGGACGCAAAAATGGGTAAAACCAATTTTTGTAGGAAACGTTTTTAATCAACAACAAAGAATGAGAAAACGTGTTTTTGGGATTCAATCAAAGGTGTTGACAGGAACGAAAAAACTTTTTATATAAGATATGTAGGTATTTATGGGACCTACAAAATGATACTACACGTAAAAAGATCCGACTAATAACAAAAATGATATGGCCAAAAAACGAGATGAAATGCAGGTTTTGGCACTTGTTGGTAATGCGACGATAATTTTACGCAACACCTTGAAATTCTTCAAATCCGTATTATTCATACTTCTAAATAACAACACCAAAATTGGAGTATATCTCTCAAGTAGTTTTTTGAGAATTTCTTATTACTTATCCAAAAATACGTATTCCGGCCATGACTACTCGTTTATTAAGCAATATAGAGGGTTCGTTCAAAGAGCATTTAATAGCAAAATACACGTATTTGATATGAATCATAAAACATTCCGAAAGATAAATGTTATTTTTATGCAAATAACAAAAGTATACGTTTTTTTTCTTCTAAACAAATTCGAACATTTCGTATTTGTGAGTAACATTTTAAAACAAAGCGGATGTGTCTATCATCTTTTGTTGAGAACTACTCACAAACACGAAATGTTTGAATTTGTTTAGAAGAAAAAACGTAACCCATACCTTTTTGAATAATAATAACATTTATCTTCCATAATGGTTTACGATTCATATCGGCAAGATAAACTAGTGCCTAAAAAATGCCTTTTGAACTTACTCCTATATTGCTCAATAAACTAGTAGTGATGGCCGGAAAACAGGTGTTTTGGGATAAACAACTAGAAATTCTCAAAAACTATTCGAAAAATCTACTCCAATTTTGTTGTGGATATTTAGAAGTACGATTTCTACGAATTTGAAAAATTTCAAATATCTGCGAGAAACCACCGCCGCATTACCAACAAGTGCCAAAACCTGCAATTTCCCTCGGTTATCGGAAGTAACTATTAGTTCGGCCATAACCTTTTTGCTATTAGTCGGATCTTTTTACGTGTGATCTCATTTTGTAGGTCTCATAAATACCTAAAAATCTTATATCAAGAGTTTTTTCGTTCCTGCCAACACTTTTGCTTGAATCCCAAAAAACACGTTTTCTCATTCTTTGATGTCGAATAAAAAGTTTTCCCACAAAAATTGGTGTACCCGTTTTATGCGTCCATGTTTCGAGTACCCCCTTGAACAACTTGCAGCAGTAAAACGAGACCTTACAACTATTTCGCAAGCCTCCGCGGTTATTTTCATCTAATATGATACTAACTAGTCTAAGATAGTATGAAACATAATTGCGTCTTCAGTTTGCTTGCTAACTTTATAAACAGTCCAAAGCATTTCAGTATGATATATATTTTTTTAAAAACCTTAAGGCTTATCAGTGACCGTGTAAAAATTTCAGTATAAATATGTATACACAATCGCTTTGTTTTAAAATGGGTATAATACTTACAAATACGAAATAATTCTTCATTTTGCGCATAAAAATAACAATTATCATTGTGAATGATTTGTGATTCATGCCGACAAGGTAAACTCATGTACCTTGCTATAAAATGCCTTTTGAACGAGCACTGCATATTGCTCAGTAAACTAGTACCTAGTGATGGCCGGATGACAGGTGTTTTGGGACAAGCAATTAAAAATTCTCACACGAAACTTGGCCAAGCGACTCCAATTTTGTTGTGGTTATTTAGAAGTATGAAACCTACGGATTTGTAGAATTTCAGGTAGCTGCGTAGAATTGTCGTCGCATTAGCAACAAGTGCCAAAACCTGCATTTTACCTCGGTTGTCGTAAGTAACTATTCGTTGGATCTTTTTAGGTGTGGTCTCATTTTGTAGGCCTCATAAATACGTAAAAGTCTTATTTGAAGAGTTTTTTTATTCCTGAAAACACTTTCGATTGAATCCCAAATAACACGTGTTCTCATTCTTTGTGGTCGAATAAAAAGTTTTCCTACAAAAATTGGTGTACCCAGTTTATGCGCCCATGTTTTAAATACCCCCTTGAATAAATTGCATCAATAAAACCAGACTTTACAATTATTTCGTCTAATATGATTACACTACGAATTAAGTTCCACTAAATTTGACATTCCTCACCAGATTGAAGTTAAAAACGTGCAAAAACGTAGTATTCAGGTCCAGACTTAACATTTAATTATGTGATGTATCATTATGTTACTAAATCCATCGAAGAGTTGTGGTGAAAGCACCTATACGTAACTATTCTGAAAGTGCTGAGTTCGGACCTGTATATTAGGATTTTCTACATTTTCATCATAACCTTGAATTTGTCTGGGGATTCGAATTCAGTTCATTTTGCATAGAAAATGCCGTTTCCCTAAAGCAGAACTCATGTTGTTGTATAACATCTGTTAAATCACTAAAAAATTACTGAAAAATCTAAATAGGGTGCATAGCCTTACTTGTAAGATGTGTTGCTCCTGTTTCGGCGAAATATAATTCATTCAGAGTATAAATTACAGGGCATCGCACTTAAAATACAAGGAAATCAGAAAGCTGAATCCGATCCTGAAAGTGAATTGCCAAAACATCTTTTGTTCAATTTTAATCATTATTTTGTAAAATATTGATAAAATCAAGAGTATAACCCTCAAAATTATGAATTTTGTGTCACACAATCCCATAAAAATAAGATATAAAAAATATATTGAAAGACAATCTTTGACTTTTCATAGAAAAAGTCATATTACACAACATTTATTCAGAATATCCAAGAACTATTTTTAACGTTTTTTTACGGAAAAAACTGAAAAACTCTCCAGCAACCTCGTTTCTTTCATATGTCTAAATTTCTTTATACCTCAAAAAATTATTTATATTTTCTTATACCGAAGCAGCCGCGCAGGCAGAAGCCCAAATGCCGGGACACCGCGGCTGCTATGATAGTCCCAAAGAAATTTTGTTAATACGACTTTTGAACTGCCTAAGGTTTAATGGTTTAGTTTCATTTGAAACATAAGATTTTCAAATGCAGGCGCTTACCTAGTTTGCCGTTCTCTTGCGCCTTCAGCTATAACTGGACCTGAAACAAATGCAAATATATTTTGAAATTGCCTCTCAACCTAAAGCTATCAAAATGAACGAAAAATTAAAAGTTTGGAGTTAGAAACATGTGAAATACATCACTCAGATTCTTTTACGCATCCTGCATTTCTTGCTGATTGTTATTTTTACATTTTGCTCTAGTAAATGTTTAGTCTATACAACTGAAAACAAAACCCACCTAGTTCTGCTAAGTTTTCCATCTCCCACCTAGTTCTGCTAAGTTTTCCATCACAACCGGATCTTGGACCTGAAACAAATAAAAACGTATTTCAGAATCCGACATTTTTTCCGAAATGTAGAACTCCAATCAAAACTGTTTGAAAAATATAGGAAAAGGTGGGTATATTGTACCGGTTTTTAACTTGTACCACCTCAATATTTACTGACTTTTAGATTTCTAACGACATCTAGTAAGCGTGTCTTATGCCTTGTGGCATCAAAACAAATCCTAACAAAAATTGTAACCGACGCAACGGTCGCTCTTAAAAAAATGTAGGAGTTTCACAATTGCTGCACCAAATACAACTTCAAAAGCGGTTTTTCTACACCATTTTATCCTTTTCTTAAATAAGAAGACATTTGGTCGCTAATATGGACTACCTGTTTGGCTTTATTAAAAATGTAAGTACCAGGAGTGATAATGTATTCGTTCAGTGCGTCACAGGTGTCCCGTACACACTTAACCAAGCTGAAAAATTGGCCACATGCCGAGGATCACAAAGGCACCTGTAATGTTTGAATATAACTTTAAGTGACATTGCTATCGCCGATGGGTGAAAGATGTCACAAATAGCCTTCGTCGGAATGGAATACTATCAGTCTCATGTATATCTGGGAATGGAGTGAACATGCATTTTGTTCGCTCTCTAATCTTTCTTTTTTTCTATTGCAATTCAACATACATATGATCCATGCACAGGCTTTGTCCTTCTATGGATAAATTATATTTATTTACTCGTTTCATGTTCCCTGTATTTCAGAGTAAATAAATATTACTGTTACTACTATAATACACCAAGATCCAAAATAAGAATCCTATTAATGTAAGAAAAAATTGACAATATCTCAAAAAACTAATGAACGTTTACGTTGACAGTTTTTAAGCACTACATACCACAATGATGTTTTTAAATTTTGTACTCAACGGTTCGTTTTTGAGAAACTATCTCTACTTTTTATCAGGTTCGAAAAAAATACACCCTGTATCTATTTCTCATACGAATTTAACGATCATATTACATTTTAGTCTAATCATATTAGCAAATATCCTCAAAATGATTGTAAAGTCTGGTTTTATTTCTGCAAGTTATTCAAGCGGGTATTTAAAACATGGACGCATAAAATGGGTACACCAATTTTTGTGGTAAAACTTTTTATTTGACAACAAAGAATGAGAAAGTTTGTTTTTTGGGATTCATTCGAAAGTGTTGACAGGAACGAAAAAACTTTTCATATAAGATTTTTAGGTACTTATGAAACCTTCAAAATGAGACCACACGTAAAAAGATCCAGCTAATAACAAAAATGTTATGGCCGAAAAACGAGGCAAAATGCAGGTTTTGACACTTGTTGGTAATGCAACGATAATTTCACGCTACTCTTTGAAATTCTTCAAATGCTCAGGATTCATAGTTCTAAATAAAAATTGGAGTATATTGGTCAACCAGTTTTTTGAGAATCTCTAATTGTTTATCCCAAAACACGTGTTTTCCGGCTATCTCTACTAGTTTATCGAGCAATATGCAGGGTCCATTCAAAGAGTATTCAATAGCAAAATACACTGGCTTACCTTGCTGATATGAATCACAATCCATTCCGAAAGATAAATGTTATTTTTATGCGAAAAACAAGTGTTACTTTTTTTTCCTTCTAAACAACTTCAAACATTTCGCATTTGTGAGTAATTGAACAAATGCGCCACGATATTCGAAAAACATACGTTACTATACACATCTTAAAATCAAGCGGATGTGTCTATCATCTGTTGCTGCGAATTACTCACAAATACGAAAATGTTTGAATTTGTTCAGAAGAAATAACGTAACTCATCATTTTTTGCATAAAAATAACATTTATCTTCCGACATTGTTTGCGATTCATATCGGCAAAGTAAACTAGTGTATTTTGATACAAAATGCTTTTTGAACTAACCCTGTATATTGCTCAATAAACTAGTAGTGAATGCCGGAAAACAGGTGTGCCGGGATAAGCAATTAGAAATTCTCAAAAACTACTTGACCAATATATTCCAATTTTTTGCGGTTATTAAGAAATACGAATCCTACGAATTTGAAGAATTTCAAACATCTGTGAGAAATCATCGTCGCATTACCAACAAGTGCCAAAACCTGCAGTTTGCCTAGGTTTTCAGCCATAACTTTCTTGATATTAGTAAGACCTTTTTACGTGTGGTATCATTTTGTAGGTCTCATAAATACCTAAAAATCTTATACGAAGAGTTTTTTCGTTTCTGCCAGAACTTCCGATTTAATCCCAAAAAACATTATTTGTGATCGAATAAAAAGTTTTCTCACAAAACTTGGTGTACCCATTTTATGCGTCTATGTTTTGAATACCCCCTTGAACACCTTGCAGCAGTAAAACCAGACCTTACAATTATTTTACAAACCAGGGGTATTTTCGTCTAATATAATTAGACTATTTATTTTCTTCGTTATAAGGATAAAATGCATTTTTTTCTAGTTTTTTACTTTTTTGAGCAGGCGTTGCAATCAAATGCTTGACTTGACGTAAATACCTGTCACCGAGTATTGTTATTATTGTGTATTGTTAATATTGCTTTATTATCGTCGAAGATGCCAGGCGGTCATTTTAGCAATGACGTGCTGACATGCTACATTTTGTGCTACAAAGATACTAAAAGTATTGAAGAAATGTACCTTGATAAATTTCCCGAAAGAGGGCAGCCAAGTAAGTCCATTTTCTTAGAGCTGGCTCGAAATTTAAATTAATATAGTTCATTCAAAAAGCCTATTACGCCTCGAAAAAATGAATCCTTATAGGAAACTCAGAATAGTGTTTTACAAGCAGTTGCTCAGAACTAGACGAAATCCTCAGCCCAATTTATTTTTCGTAAAAATAGGTATCAGAATTCAGGATTTGGTGTTGATTTAGACCAGAGGCTAGCGAACGGCGTTAGTATTTTTGAGTGGTACACACGTGTGAAGAAAATCTTAATATAGTCCGACGAGAGTATGGTCAGTAATTATGGTATACGAGTATTTAATCGCCGCAATACTCATTAGTGGGCTCAAGAAGTCACCAAAATATTAGGTCCATTTATTTACCACAATTCATTAACTGCAGATCGGTAACTTAATTTTTTTTTTTTTTTATATACCGAAACAGCCGCGCAGGCAGAAGCCTAAATGCCGGAACACCGCGGCTGCTACGATGATCCCAAAGAAATTTTGTTAATACGACTTTTGAACTGCCTAAGGTTAGTAGAACTGGGAAAAGCTTCCTCCCGTAGATTGTTCCACAATCTAGACACCCTCGGGAAAAAGGAGCGGTCGTATCGGCCAGTTCTGGATGTACGAAGTTTGACACGGTTAGGATGGGACGCCGAAGTGAGGCGGGTCTGTCTGGCAGGCACATCGCGCGGCGGCATCATGGGAGAGAGCTCTGAGGAGCAAAGGCCGTTGGTGTAGCGATAGAAAAGAGCTAGATTGCCGACGACCCGCCGGTGCGAAAGAGTCCCGAGACTCTCTGTTAGAGAAGAGTCATCGATCAGTCGGACCGCCCTGCTCTGGACAGCATCGAGCATAGACAATGTAGTCGGGGCGGCAGCACCCCAAATGTGTGAGCAATACTCGAGGCTAGGCCTTATCTGGGCCTTGTATAGAGTGAGAAGGTCATGTGGAGAAAAGTACTTCTTAGCCCTAAACAAATAGCCTAGCTTTTTCCCAGCAGCTGCAGCTACTGAAGAGATGTGTTCGTGCCAGATCAGGTCCTCGGTGATCTGGACTCCGACCAGCCGAAATGAATGGCTCTTTGGTAGAACTCGACGGTCCATCGAAACTGTATGAGCGCTAGGACACTTTTTGTTCGTCAAAGTACAGTACTGTGTTTTGGAAGCAATGAAATGTACAAGATTGTTGCGTCCCCAAGCAGTGATAGCCACCAGGTCTCTTGTCAGAGAAGAAGTCGTCGCTATTCTTCTTTTTTCTAGCTCAGCGGCAGAGATCGGCTTGTCACTCTGAATTCCTGCATGTAGAGTGCTGTCATCAGCGAAGCTGTGGATTGGGTTGATCGTGCAGGAATGGAGGTCGTTGATATGTAAGAGAAACAGTGTTGGAGCCAAGACCGATCCCTGGGGAACACCCGCGTTGACGTTGTGGGATGAAGAGGAGAATCCGTCAATTACGACGGATATCTTGCGGCCAGAGATAAATTCAGCCACCCATCTGCAAAGCTTTTCTGGGAGCCCGTAGGATGGAAGTTTGCTTAAGAGGGCAGCGTGTCACAGCTGATCGAACGCTTTCGTGATGTCAAGATCAACGACATGAGCCTCAGCATGAGACTGGATGAGTTTACTCCACAGTTGCGTGATGTAAGCTAGGAGGTCCCCTGTGGGTCGTTGGTGCCGGAAACCGTACTGCCTGTCGCTAATCAAGCTGTGACGTTCGAGGTAGTCCAGAAGCTCGCGATTTATGCACCTCTCCATCACTTTACTTATAACAGAAAGCAGAGCTATAGGCCTGTAGTTGTAAGGGTCGGTCTTAGATCCTTTTTTTGGGATGGGCTGTACATGAGCAAATTTCCAGTTTTCTGGGAAGGTGCCGGATTCATAAGATATCTGGAAGAGACGCGAAAGAACTGGAGCAAGCTCCGCTGCACATCTCTTCAGTACAATGGCAGGAATCAAGTCCGGACCAGAAGCTTTGTTGATGTCGAGCGACACGAGCACTCGTCTTACGGTCTTATGACTGAATGTTACCTCCCGCATAGTGCGGGGAACCCTTTGAATTGACGGCACTTGGGCGTTGGTGAGGACGTCCATGGTGGAGTTGGCAGCAAAGATCTTGGCTAGCACTTCCGCCTTGGCCTTTGAGTCGAATGCAATAGTTCCATCCTGACACGTAAGTGGCGGAAGGCTACTGTGTGAGAAGTTGTTTTCAATCTGCTTGGCCAGCGTCCAGAAAGACCGACTGCCATTGCGCTGCGACATTACCCTGTGCCTAACTTTTATATCATGCTGGTTTTTGGCATTGCGAACCGCTTCAT